CCCCCGCCAGGCTCCCCGCTCCGGGACCCCCGCCCTCACCTTCCCCCGGGGCTCAGCGCTGCTCGCCCATAGTCCGTAGCCCGGAGCCGCGGCTGCTCGGCGCTCCGTCCCGGGGGGCCGGGAGCCGGGCCGGGGGCGTGGAGCCGCTCACCGCCGCCTCCCAGCGCAGCTGCCCGAGCCGCCGCCGCCACCGCCGCCTCGCTCCATGGCTGCGGCGCCGCCACCTGACAACGGAAGTGACGCACCGCCCCCTCCTCTCGGGCCAAGCCGCAGCCCCTCCCCTCTCCCCGGGCCCCGCCCCTCGCCCGCGTCCTCAGCCCCACGGCGCGGGGGCGGGAGCCATCTTGACGATGGGCGGAAGCCTTCAGGCAAGAGGCCAGAATCCGATGGCTGATTGGTTAAGAGCAGGGTCTGGGCCGAAACATGTGAAGCGATTGGAGCCCGATGTGCTAAAGGGGCGGTACTTACCGCTGATCTATGCCTGCGGTGAGGCTGGGCTGGACGCACCATCCCCGCCCCAACTCCGCAGAACCTCGCGTGCCCTACACTCGCCCTGCCGGGTTGGGAGGAGTCTCCAGTGGTTGGAAGATCGGCCAGTTGTAGTGTATTGGTTAGAAAAATGGCTCTTCCTTGATCCCCATTTCTCGGTCTCTGGAGCTCGTGCGGAGAATGCTGCGGTTAGGTTCAATAAACGACAGAATTCCTGTCGCAGCCTTCACAATTCATTTCCCTCTAAGACCCCTCGCTTTTGTAGCAACCCCGCTTCAACCTGTAGAGCCCTGGAGTCTTGACCTGGCAGGGTTACGGTGAAGAGTTCCTAGGAACGATTCCAGCTGTCTGACCTCAGTCCCTCCTGCTGCAGTTTCGGTCCCTTTCTCCTCCTCCTCCAGCAACCACGCCCTCCATGAATCAGCTTCTTGCACCAGCAGATGAGCCCTTTAAAGGGATTGCATCAGGCTGGTGACTCACTGGGGCCCTCCGAGAGCCTGGCTTCCCTCCTCTGGCAAGCAGAAGCAGCTAGAAGGGCTCAATGGCAGTAGCACCAGTGATCACGGCTCCACGTCTTTGTCTCAGAGGTGTGAGCCAGCGTGCTTGCTGCATAGGACTAGCTAACTCCCCGGTGTCTTTTCAGCTGTCCCCTGGGTCACTCTGTATCCATGTGTGGGCACGCGTGTCCAAGCCTGTGTGCGCTGCTGGGTTTTCCTAGGGCTTTTGGCCAGGCACTTACGTGTATGCGTGTTTGTCATCTCCACACAGGCGGTGCCAGGACATGAGAGTTAGTGCGAGTGAGTCTGGCTGCCTCCTCCCGGGTCCATCTCTTTGTCTCTCTGAATGCCCGGTGCCCGCTGATCTGATATGGCTGAACTACAATAGTAATGTAAACAGCTCCTACTGTTGTGTCACAGGCTGTGTTAAGCACGTTAGAGACATCAGCATTAGGAGTCTATTTACAGATGAGGAAGCTGGAGCCCTGAGAAGTGAAGTAAACTGTCCAAAGACGCACAGCTAATAATGGCAGGACTATGATTTGAACCAAATCTGCTAGATTCCCAAAAGGCTGGATTTGAGTCCTTGCTGTGTCCCTGACAAGCTGAGTGACTACGTGCCAGTTCTCTAACCTTCCCCATCTGTCAAAATAGGGGTAACACGTGGTGGGATCCCCGTGAGGATTCACTGAGTCTGGAAACATCTTCTCCTAGCACCTGGGAGTAAGAGTGCTCACACTCATCTCAGTGACGGGGATGACTGGCAGTCAGGCACGAAGGAGCCAGCCCCGGCCCACCAAGCTCCTCTCTCTGACAAAGGGAAAAACCTAGGGATTCCGGAAGCCCTGACTCTGACAGGAACAAGTTTTGGTTTTTCCAGAGCTCTAATTATCAGCTGGATGAATCACCTGGAGCTGACACCATCATCCCCGCCCCCGGGAAACTCTCAGCTGATTCAAAATATAGGATTTTAACAAAGAAGAGGAGGAGGACCAGAAAGAGGGGAGGACAAGAGGGAATGAATAGAAACTAAAGGTGCCAGCCAGAGGAAATGAGAAACTGTCATCAGGACACCAGCATGAGGAGACCACTGCTCCACACACACACACACATACACACATAGGCACGGTGACATACTCTCCTGCTGGCTCTCCAACTCTGGGCATACTGGCAGATGGTGCTGCCATAACAAAGTGATGCCTGTCACAACAGTGTGAGATGGTTGCTTGACAAGGTATAGGCAGATCTGCCCATCACGGAGGAGAGGAGGAGAGCTTCAACCCTGGGAAGCTTCCTCAGGCTTCTGAAACCCAGCAAACTCTACTTACTGCCTGGGCTTCTGGCTTCTCTTTGTGGACAAGCTCCAAGGCCTGGGGATGGTAAGTTTAGAGTGCCAGGCACATACCTGGTGGCTGGGTACCACCACTGAGGTGAGCAGAGCATTGCTTGTGCTTGTCATCAGTGTGATGTCAGGAGTGCCAGGAAGCAGAATAGTGTAGTGTAATCATTAAGATCATGGAGTTTGAGCCATGCAGACCTGAGGTCAAATCCCTACTCTGCCGTTCACTGGCTCTTTGACCCTGAGCAAGTCATTTAATCTTTCTGGGCCTGTTTGCTCATCTGTAAAATGGGGCTATTAATATTTCCTCCCAGGGTTGTTGTAATGGTGAAATGAGATGATTCTTTCATTTCACGAAGATGTATGGTGTGCCCACTATGCACAGAGCTCTGAGCTGGAGACCCAGTGGGACAAAAAAGACAGCCACTCTGCCCTCCCAGAGTGTGGAGCGCCCTGGCGCAGGGCCTGGCCCGCAGTGAGAGTCAAGCAGTAGCTATTTTCATGAGACCATCTTGGCATTCTGCCACTGACTTCATCGTGGGACCTGGGGAGAGCCCCTCCCCCTTCCCCCTGAGGAAACTGGGCGTCAGTTTCCTCAACTGTAAAATGATGGAGGTGGACTGGATCAGTGGTTCCCAGCCTCCTCACCTTCGAAGCTTCTTTTAGTATTCTCCCTCCACATGAGCCTCATATTTGGTAAGACTTTGTCTCCCAAGGGATTCCAGTTTCCTTCGAGGACCCTTCAGCCAGGAGGCCAGACTGGAACTCACGGAACTGACATTTTCCCTCAAGTCCCATCTAGCTGAGAACTGGAGATTCCGCGTCACTTGTACGGCCCTCCAGGGAGATCTGAACGTCAAGCCGTATGCCCACTCAGCTCTCCTCAGAGCCCTGCCCAGATAGTCCCCACCCCAAAATGAGAGAGACCCCTGAACTCTTCTCTCCTGGAGTGGGAAGGGGTTGGGGGACACACCATGTGCCCTGAGCACTCAGAATTCCCGGGGACTCAGTCATCAACTGAGCCCCCATGTTGGTGTATGTGCATGCTTGAACAAAGGCCATGGCAATGAGTACCACAAACCCAAGCTCTGATGGGGCGATGACATTTTGAAATATGTTTTTCCTCTTTTCCTGGGTGTCCCTCAGCCCTTCCCTTATGCAGATCGATAGGTTACTCTGCATTCATTACGTCAGGAAACAAATGATACAACAGAATGCAGAGTTCATTTTTAGCTTTTGAATTCCAGAAGCCTAGCCTTCGGGGAGGAATGGAAAGAATTTCTGTGCAGAAACACATTGAGAAAACCGTGCAACCAAGGGGATCTGGGAGACCGAGACTTAGCGGGTGGTCCCTCAGAGAGAGAAGCTTCTCCTCAGCCTGGTAGCTGGAGGGCATCAGCCGGGTCTACAGGGTCTGGAAGCAGGAAGAATTGCGCTCCTTTTCCTGGTGGAGCGCCAGGAAGTAACCAAACCCTCTGAAGAAACAGCTGTGTACTGCATGCGGGCAAACAGGGCCTAACCATCCCAAGATCCTCAGAATTTCCTGGGCCTGACTGGCTTGGGAAAAGTAGAATAAAAATCTGAATGCTGAGACAGGTGGGCGGGGGGAGCAACTCAGCAGACGAAAGACCGGAACAAAACGAGGACATCTCAGTGGATGCTAGTATGATGGGATGACCACCAGATCAGGCCACCCTTCCCACACTTTGGCACCTTGAAAGGAAGTGCCCTAACATTCAACCAATTCCAAGAAAAGTTGGGGGAACTTTGAAGTGACTGCAATTAAGTTTCTGCCACTCTGGCTAAGTGAGGTAAAGCAGGAATTCAATCAAGTTAGAGAAAATTCAAGCTATATTACTGACACACCAGAAATTGGAACCAGCTACACTCCTTACCGATGAGGCCTGGTATCATTTGTTTACCCCCGCCCCGCCATTTCTTCTGCCTCGCCTGCCTCTCTCTCCTCCATCAATAGTCACGATGGTACTCTGTCATTGCTGCTGACCCCCAAGCGTTCCCACCTCAGGACCTTCGCTCTGGCAGTTTCCTCTACCTTCCTTTGGTTCTTTAAATGGCAGCCCCCTTCTCAGTTTAAATTTCACTTCTTCAGACCACACTCTCCAAAATAAAATCACCTCTGTATTCTCTCTCAGAGTGCCCTGTTTATTTCCTTCATGACATCTGTAAATATTTTTACTTTTTTTGTTTGTGGTCAGTCTCCCCCTCTACAATGTCAGCTCCTTAAGGGCAGGACCCTCGTCCATCGTGATGTTCCCTCAGAAGCTAGCATTATGACCAGAATTACTTGTGGAGTGAATGACCAGTGGCAGTTAGGACATTCCTGGCTCGCCATAGGCTTGTAGGCACTGAGCTTTCTCAGTCCCCACCCGGGCCCCTGACAGCCTTTCCCAGGAATCCAGGATTGGATGTCAAAAGACCCATCACCTTGGGGCTTGAAGACTTAGCTGTGCTCTACCCCAGGGATCAGCAGGACTGTGTCTCAGTGGGGCTGGTTCCTCTCCTTCCCATCTATCCTCCCAGAGCCTTGCCTAGGAACGACAGAGGGCCCACTGGGTCTGGTGCACGATGCTCACGGAATATGTCCTGAGCCTCTCTTCTCAGCCATCTGCGCTAGGCCTCCCACTTCCCTCCCTGGCCTCAGGGTTCTCCTTGCCCTGCTGAGGATGTAGAAGCCCCTGGCGCACCATTTAAAAGCATCAGAGGTACACCTGTCCTCCATCCCTAGGCCAAACTCCCAGCACACGCCCTCTTCAAGGCTGGAAATGTTTGCAGACATGTGGGGAACCCTGGCAAGGGGGGCTGCAGTGAGGACTCCCCCCAGTTCATTATTCCAGACAGGGTGGCTGTCTCCCCACGTGCTGCAAGGACGTGGGCATTTCCACAGGGAGGATGTCCCTTCTGTGCCTGCCCTCTGCTTTTCTCTTACCAGCAGTCACCTTGCGGTGTCGATCCCCTTAACTGTAGCTGTCAGAGGGGCCTGGAACCTCAGAGACGTGGTTTTCTCCCTGCTAGGACCCACTGTTCTCTCCTGAAGGCAAAAGGCAGAATCTAAGCAGGTTCTAGGACCCCTGGGCAATGAAATAAATACAGTGTGCAGAAGAATCATGGGGGGGCAGATATTAATAATGTAGATTCCAGGGTTCCAGATTCTGGTTCATGTTGGGGGAAAAGGGGAACCAGGAAAGTGTCTTTTCTAGACACATCCCGGATGGTTCTGATGAGGTGGTCCAAGGACAACACTTTGACCAAGACTGGGCTGGAATGTGAATGCAATGACCTTGGGCTACTCGTGCCCACATGAACACTCCTCGCTCAAATCTCCCTCAAGAAATGAAAGCATCTAAGGTCAAGGGCCTTGCCTTACTCAAAACTCGGGTGTGGGAGTTCTCAGGCTGGATCTCATCTTGTGGTTCTTGACTACCTCCTCCACTAGATTATAAGCCCCTCTTCAGAAGGGACCAAATCTTACTCGACAATGTGCTCAGCAGAAAGCCTGGCACGTGGCGGCTGCTCTGTGGATGTTTGTTTGATGAAGACAAACTCTCTGGTTCCATGGGACAGAGCTGCTTTCATTGAAACGGTAGTTTGCTAGCAGCTACAAGAAAGACTTGGGTTCTAACCTGAGAAGCCCTTCTTCCCTGAGGACCTAACAAGTCTGAGTCGGAGCCTGATTTCCTGCTGTTGGATGAGCTCCCACGCTGGAGGGGAGGGCCCAGGGTTACTCCAGCCTCTCTACCTAAGGAAACGGCAACGAGACTAACAGCCCCTTCAACAGGGAATCGGAACAGAAAAGCCACTTTCCACCTGACCAGACTGAAGGACTCTCCTACAGTCTCCAGACTGTAGTCCTCAACTTTGCTCATATTAGTCTCACCTGGGAAACAAAAAAACTCCCCAATGCCCAGGCCAAGCCCCGTACCAGTTACATCTGAATAGCTGATGGTGGGACACGTGATTCGGCTGGGCAGCCAAGCTGGAGAGTCAGCGCCCCACTGTACAGAACCAACAGAGAGCCTGGCACACATCAAGCAGAAGCACGAGGCACTGGCTTGTTTGTATCCAAATTTAGTTTTATGAGAAAACAAACACAATTACAAGAGAAACCGGGACACTTAGGGGTGGCTCAGGCTGAGCACATTTAATAACACTCACTGGGAGAGGGTTGAAGACTCTTTGAGAGATTCTCTAAACCAGTATATCAAAAGATTCAGATACAAATGATCAAAAGGGAGGATTTTCACCTACCCCAAGGCCGCAGTCAGAAAAATAGGATTCTGAGTCCCAGGGTGAGTCTGGGAAGTAGAACCCTATGAAAGGCAGCTGTGACAGGTGGTGTCTGTCAGAGACATCAGTTCTGGGCTGGGCCCCATCCCTTCCCAGGTTCTGGGCAGCGAAGGACGGCAGACAGTTGGCTCAGTAGAACGCTGGAGGAACCTGAGTGGGGACTGGAGCTTGCTCATGGGACAGGCTCATTTATACTTTTTGGAGGGAAATTCCCGCCGGCCTTGGCCCTTGCCGCCAAAGTTGCGCACCCGATGGATGACCTGCAGCTGCTGCTCAATGGTAGCGGTGATGTTCACATCATCTGGGATGTGGACGTAACGGACGTTACGGCCCGTCACAAAGAGGTCATCCAGCTCGACCTGATGCCCCCAGCGGTCTGTGTAGGTGACGTTGGCCAGGCGGATGTTCATGAAAGCATCAACATTGTCTATGCGTCCCCGGGCCACGCTCTCATCCCGCAGGTCCACAGTGGTTACCTGGCCCTGGAGGCCCTGCAGCAGGATGATCAGGCTGTTCTCTGAGATGGTCCGCTCCTTCACTGAGTGGCTGACGGCCATTCTTCCACACTGCTGGCTGCTCCCTGTGGGAGGAGCACACAGATGGGAGCTGCAGCAGGCGAGGGGGTGCAGCTGCCAACTCACCTCCACCAGGTTCTAGCACAGAATTCTCAGCATGGACTCCCCCCAGCCTGTGTACTTCCCCAATTTTTGTGTCAATAGAGCACCCTTAGGAGCCAGGTACTCATGTGCACACCTCAGAATCCTCATACCACCTTGCAACGATTATACTTATTTTATAAATGAGGAAAATACAGCCAGGAGAAGTTAAGTAATTTGCCTAACATCATAAGTTGATAAGTGGTGGTGCTGGGATTCAAATCCATGGCAGCCCGACTCCAAACCCCACATCAGCAATTCTGAACCCTCACTGCATATTAGAATCACCCAGTGAGTTTCTACCTGGCTGCCACACCCAAGAGATTCTGATTCATTTAGTCAGGGGCGCGGCCCAAGTATCCTATTTTTTAAAAGCTCCCAGGTAATTCTAATGTGCATCCAAGTTTGAGAACCACTGATCATCTAGAGTGTAATTTACACCCTTGCGACTCAAAGTATGGTCTGGGGGCCAGCAGTCTCAGCATCACCCAGGCACCTGTTAGAAAGGCAGACTCTCTAGTCTCTCCCCAGACCTCCTGAAGAATCTGCGTTTTAACAGGGCCCCTAGATGAATCACCAGTTCTCAAGCGTTAGTGTGCCTCAGAAATCACCTGCAGGACTTGTTAAAACAGATTGCTGGGCCTCACTCCCAGTTTCTAACTCAGCCCGTTTGAGGTGGGGTCCAAGGATGTGCCTTTCTAACATGTTCTCCGTTGATGGTGATGTTGCTGGTCTGGGGGGCCACACTCTGAGAACGACTGGTCTACACCATGCAGCCATCCTATAAGTAGAAATTTAGGTAACTAATTGAAAAGAATAGTACCACATAGGTTTTGAAGGTAGAGAAAGCTACGTTGGAATCCCCACTCCACCCACAAACTCTGTAAACCTAGGACAGTTACTCAATGTCTCTGAACCTGTTTTCACATCTATTAAACCATAGGCTACATGAGGCTTACAGAATCTCGCTACATTGAAGGTACTTTCTTCTGCTTTCAACGCGCCCCAATATTGTATTAACGTAACTTTGTCTTATCTATCCCCTATTTTCAGAGGCTGAGTGGATGCTGGTGGAATTTTCTTTCCTTAAGACCTCACTCAGAATCCCGACAGGGCTGTGCAGGGTGGCATCAGGTGGGGCAAGCCAGCCCACACCACTGATGAGCGAGGCTGGGAGCTGGGCCGGAAGAGTCTAAAGACCCCGCCCAGGCTTCCCCAGGAGTACGCCGAAGCAAGGGGTTGGGGTTGCAAAGAGGCAGGCCCGGGCTCTCGGACGGGCTCTGTCACTTCCTAGGAGGGACACCTCGAGCCAGCCACTTAGCTTCTGCAAGGCCGTTAGCCCATCGGTAAAATGGGGATGGGGACGACCCTTTACTCACAGAGCAGTGGGAGTGGAGATGCGCTATACTCAGCAATTCGGGAAGAAAACGCTGCCCCTGCTCCCCGCCGCTCTCTGGAGTTCCGGGGTACCAGGCTCCCCAAACCCACCGCGCCGGATCCCTTCCGATTTCCGGGTCCGCGGCGCCTCGGAAGCTAGCAGACGCCTAAGCGAGCTGGCTCCCTCCAGCAGCGGGCCTCAGAAGCCATGGCAACGGCGGAGCCACTCTGCCCTCCCGGAGCATAGAGAGCACGTCAGCGCGCCGGGCCTGCGCCACGGTGGGGCGAGCTCAGAACTACAATCCCCAGAATGCCTCGCGGGCGCCGTGGCTCGCGCTCTTGCAGTCCTCGGCCTACGTCATTGGATTCTCTCTTTCATTGGAGTCATTCATTCATTCAGTAAATATTCATCAAGCTTTCGCCAATGTGTCAGGCTCCTTCGCAGGCTCTGGACGTAGAGCGGTGACTAAGGACACAAGCTCCCTGATCTGATGACCCTTTGATTTACTGGGGGTGTGTGTGGGGAGTCGTCTATAAGAAAACAAACAAGAAAATTATGATAAAAGTTCTTCAGAGGATTAAAATAGGGTGATATGATAGTGGCTGTGTGGATGCTTAGGGATGTCCTGCGAAGGTGACATTTGAACTGAAACGAATGGCATGAAGACGACCTTGTGAAAACTAGGAGAGAAACATTGTAATTAGAGGGAAAAGCTGGCGCAAAGGACCTGGTGGGGATGAGCTTGACAGATTAGAAAAACAGGTTCGGCTGGATGACCTTTCCGTGACAGGCTGGAACATCCGTTATGTCCTTCTCAGTGTTTGACCATACTGACTATCCTCTTCGTCTTTTTTTTTTTTTTTCTGGGGCATTGCATCATTTGGTTTCACCAGGCCAGTAAGACTGAGGAGAGTGGTGTGACAAGAGGTTGTAGAGGAAGGCAAGAGCCAGAGCATTTAGGGTTTTGTAAGCCAAGGTAAGGAGTTTGGATTTCTTGGTTAGGAGTGCTGGATCTGGAGGCAGTGCCTGGGTTCAAATCTGCTCCTTGCTAACTATGACTTTAGACAACTTAACTATCCTCTCTGTGCCTCAGATTCCTTGTCTATTACTAGAAGTGCAATAATAGGCTATCAAAGGGAAGTGACAGGATCTGATTTACTTTTTTTTTTTTTGCTGAGGAAGATTAATGCTGCACTAACATCTGTTGCCAAGCTTCCTCTTTTTTTGCTTGAGGAAAATTAGTCCTGAGCTAATATCTGTGCCAATCTTCCTCCACTTTATATGTGGGTTGCCGCTACAGCATGGCTGACAAGTGGTGTAGGTCTGTGTCTGATATCTGAACCCGTGAACCAGGGCTGCCAAAGCAGAGAGTGCCAGACTTAACCACTATGCCACTGGGCTGGCCCCTGATCTACATTTTTAAAAGGTCTTTCCGTATAGCCTTGGAAAAGTCGCTCATCTCAGCCTCAATTTCCTCAGGAGAAAAAAAGATAGTCTATGTCAGAGAACTGTCATAAGGTTTGAGGGACCTTCATTAGTGTGTGAAAGCACCTGGCACCTAGGAGATGCTCACCGAGAGTTAGGCTGGTTCTGTTCCTTCACTCTCTCGCTCATTGGTTTCCATCTCCCCAGGAGCCTGCCCTTTTCACCCGCGATCACAGGTGGCCTCTTCTTATCCTGAAAACAGAAACTTTCTCCTCCATGCAAGCTTCCCCTTCCACAGTCAGACTTCTCAAGAGAGGCCTCTATACCGGTGTTTCTCCAAGCGTAGTCCCTTTTCCAGCCTCGTATCTGTGTGACACTGGATTTTCTTCGTGTCCTTCAACCAAAAGAACACATCACACCGGACTAACTGCAGAAGCAGATTCGAGAATCCAGCTGACTTCTGTTATGACAGACATTAAAGAGACTTGCAACAATGTAAAATAATGTCACTCTTCTCCCCAAACTTTGTCTTTTGGAAAATGTAATTATTTTTAATAAAAATATGTTAATGGGTCTATTATCGTTATTTTTACATGAATGAACATTAAAATTTTCAGTTTTATATATAGGTGATATATTGTATATCTATCCCAGATAAGCAAACGCTTTTGGGGGTTTTCAATACTTTTTAAGAGTATAAAGGGGTTCTGAGACCCAAAAGTTTGAGAACTGCTGTTCTCTCCCAAGGGCTTTCACCTACTCACTCAACTCACTGTCATCTGGCTTCTACCCCCAAGACTCTACTAACTTCTCTGGCAAAGGTTGCTAATAATCTCCTTACTCATAAGGAGAACCTTTATCTTCTTTCTTAGTCCGTTTCCCTGGATTCTTCTCAGTGCTTGACGATATTGACCATCCTCCTCTTTGGTATTTTTTTTTCCTGGGGCATTGCATCATTTCATTTCTCCTGTTTCTCTGATTGCTTCTTCTCCATCTCTCCTTTTTTTTAACCCCACTCTCTTCTCCTGCTCCCCAAACGCGTGTGCTTTCTCTGGGGCTCTCTTCCCAGTCCAGCTCTCTACTTGGTCGTGTCTGTCTCCACGCCATCTACCGCATGCGCTGAGTCTCTTGTCTGGGTCTCCAGCCCAGACTGCTCTACAGATCTCCATTTTCCAACTGTCTGTTGCTGATTCCCACATGTCTTACTGTACTTGACACTCAGCACGTCTATGAGACAAATTCATCAAGTCCTTTCAAAATCACTTGCTGCTCTGCATTTTTCTATTGCTGTGGTTGCTACCACCATTTTTCAACTACCCAAGTTGGGCACCATGAATAAACTTGACAACTTCTATCACTTCTTGATTCCCCGACACCTGTCACAGGCACTGAGCCCTGCAAATTCTTTGAAGTGTGTCTCCCATCCTTCACTTGCCTTTTGTTTACTCTGACTGCCACCACCCTAGTTGAGACCTTCTTTCTCTCACTTGATTCATCAGAAAAACCATCTTACCGGTCTTTGTGTCTCATGATCCTTTGCCAACAAAGTACAATTATGATCTTATTATTTACGTGCCAAGAAAACGTTCAATTCACTAGCAGAATAAAGGTTCCAGTGCTGACACTGATTTGATTCCAACCTACCTTCCAGCTGGATCTCCCCCAGGTACTCTACCCAAATTCTCCAACCAGTGTTTTTTAAAATGTGGTAAGGGAGCCAGCTGCCTTATTGTTATCTGGAATGCTTGTTTAACCCAACCCCAGACCTACAGAATCAGAAGCGGAGTCTGAGAATTGGCACATCTAACAATGCACACTAAAATTTGAGACCCACTGTCCTCTCTAGTCAGACTCAGCCACTCAGCAACCCCCAGACACGCCCTGTACTCGCCTCTGCCTTTGCTATTCTGCTCCGTCTGCCTCAGATCCTCTCTTATCTGTGGATGTTAAGTCCAGTCCCTCCCTCAAAGCCTAGCTCAATCGCTGTACCTTTCTGAAGTCTTCACTGATTCCCCCAATTGGGAGTGACGGCTCTCCTCTGACCCCTATGGCATATCGCTCACTATAGGTTTGCTTGTTGCCTGCAGATTCGCTGTGTTGATCTACGTAAATCTCACCTCTCCTACTAGTCTCCTGAGTGTTGAGACAGGGAGAAGGCCTTAGGAGGCCCAAACGCTTCACACTACAAACCACAGTTGCTTGAGGAACACTGGGTTTTATGGATGTGGTGAGAAGGTGACAGGGATCTGAATGAAGATGTGGCAGTGGGACTGGGAAGAAGAGATGAATGTTAAAGATCCTGAAAAGAGCTAATCAGAATCCTTGGAGGCTGATTAAATCCAGAGTGCGGGTGGGAGGGGGAGGAATCAAGGATTTAAATTTTAACCCTGCGTATCTAGAGAGATATAGCCAGCCCTGGTGGTCTAGTGGTTAAAATTTGCCTGCTGTGGCCCAGATTTGTTTCCGGTCAGTGAACTACACCACTCATCTGTCAGTTGTCATCCTGTGGCGGCTACGTGTTGCTGTAGTGCTGAAAGCTACACCATTGGTATTTCAAATGCCAGCAGGGTGACCCACGGTGGACAGGTTTCAGCAGAGCTTCCTGACTAAGACAGACGAAGAAGAAGGACCTGGCCGCCCACTTCTGAAAAAATTGGCCAAGAAAACCCTACGAATAGCAGTGGAGCATTGTCTGATATAACATTGGAAGATGAGAGGACGATGCAAAAAGACAGGGCAGGGTTCCGCTCTTCCTGTACACGGGGTCAGTGGGAGTCAGAATCAACTTGAGGGCACTAACAACATACCCAGAGAGCTGGTGGCCCACTGATAGGAATAACAGGGTTGGGAGAGGGGATGCGGCTCATGCCTGTGGAGGATATCTCATTTTTTGGTTATTCAGCCACTGAACTCCTTTCCCCACATTTGGGGAAATCTGACATTCTATGAATTTTGGTGGGAGCTGGGGTTCTGCATCCCACTACTGATAATTTAAAGGCCAGATATTGTCTCTGATCTTTGTCAGCTACAGCATGGGCTTGTGACCTAAACTCAGGCGTTTAAATCTGGAGCAAGTGACACAAGCTAGCCGGGACTGCTTAGGCTCCATCCTGGTGTCTGCGTCATCCAGCGCCTTATTCCCGGGTGCTGCTGGTGCTGGAGTCCTTCCCTAGGCTGCCTACCCTTCCCTCTTCCTGGCCATTTTCTCATGGTTCTTCAGTCTTCTTGACAACTGTCAGTTGCCTGAAGCCCTTTCAGTACATTCCTTTTCTACTTAAGTAGCCAGAATTGGTTTCAATTTTTTTGCTGCCAAAAACCCAAACTAGTACACGGCCCACCTGAATTTAATTCATTTCAGGAGCCTTGAATTTTTCCTTTTAGATGAGCTCTGTCGTGGTTCTGTTTCCAACTGTCAGAGGATCACAGAGTCCTGAGGGCCATTCCCAGGTCACCCGCTCCAAGTTACCACTCAGTGTCCAAATGCCCTCGACAGACTCCAGTGACCAGCAACTCATGTCTTTGCCAGGTGTTCTGCTCCTTTGTTAGGAGTGTTGATGGCACTAACGACTAACCACAGATGTAGTGGTAAATATATATTTTTTCTAAAATTTGCATCTCTCTTTCTATGGTTTCCTGTGGCTGTGTTGGTCTCTATACTGGATGTGAACCAGATGCACGTAACTTTTACTCATTGCTTCTAGTTCTTTTCTATGGAAAACTGTCCTATTTTGTATTATATTTAATTTTAGAAGTTCCCTCATGCCTTTTGAAAGTGAAGTAAATGTATTAAGTAAATAAACATGATGTCAGTGTTAGACACTAAATGTGAGGTGATGTGGAGTCTCTCAGGGAGTGGGCCTGCCGCTCAGGTGAGGGTGGATACAGGGATTTGCGAGTCAACAGTAATGGTTGAAAGTAATGGCCTCTCTAAAAAAAAGGGATGCAAAACAATTTGCAGAAGAATGCAAACTAAGCACTGAAGGGCACATAAAACATTTGGTCAGCACTGGGGTGAGAGTAAGGGATGGGGGGAGGGCCGGCACCGGAGGGAGACTGAGGGATGAGATGAGAGCAAGCAATGGGAAAAAACAAGCCAGGGATGAAGTAAGGATCCTCTGGCAACTGACCTGGCAGTCCTGACAGACTTAAAAATGGCTACATCAACATCTATATCACACAGGGCAATCCTCAGTCAGAAGCCACTGAGGGAGAGAGCGGAAGTATGGTCAGAAAGTAGCATGATTTGAGCCACCAAAGGGTGAGGGAGTTTTAGGAAGGAAGGGGCGTTTAGTAGGGCCAAGAGCCTTCAGACAGCCAAGGAGAATGGGGAGGAGGGAAGGCTATTGGATCTAGCACAGTGGGGGCCTGGGGACGGAGGAGGCGCCTGTGTAGGGAGATGGTGGTGGAGGCGGGGGAAGGTGAGGCAGCAAGGAAGCTGGAGGGCTGGCGAGGGCATGGAGAGGGACGCAGGAGCAGCTGGATGAATTAAGACGGAGAGAACGAGGCCCTGGAGAAGCAGGGCGAAGGTGTGTGTGGAGCGGTCTGGAGAGGAGCAGATCCTCGGCAGCCATTCAGATAAACATCTGAGGTGCAGAGAGAGCTGGGTGTGGCCAAGGGAAGGAAGGGCGTGGCTGACAGACAGGCTGAGGTACAGAGGAGACAGGAGTGAGAGTCACAAACCCAGGACTATCTTCTCATTGGCAACCGAAGCTGGGAGGTCTTCAGGTTATCCAGAAAACCCGGGTCAAATGTCCTTGGCTGACACCACGACTTCCCCTTGAGAACCTGAAAAAATGCTGGCCGCGACGTTTCAGAAGGAAGTCAGGGAGTTTTATAGGGAGAAAGGAGGGCAGAGGGATCTGAGGCAAATGCGCACATCTAGGATTTAGGAGTGCGGGGTCTGCCTCCAGCCCTTCTGGGCTGTGCTAGTGGTGTGGCCTCACCGGGCTAACGCAGCCGGGGTTTCATGCAGTTCTGGGAAGTAACAGAGAAGCTAGTGCTATTTTTGTCAGCAGAGGCACCCACTGGCCAGAAACAAACAAGAAATGCAGCGTGTATGTAGGGGGGAAATGTTAAGGTCATCAAATAATCCACGATAATTTCCATTGACCCTTGGAAAGCATCTCGACATTCTTATTGGAAAGGGGGTAAGTTATGATCTGAGAATTTCCTTCGCAGCAAGTCACGAAGCTCGGCAGGGGACCTTCAGCTGTGAAGGCGGTTCCCTGGCCTAAAAACATCCCCTTTAACTCTCTCTGCTGTCAGCTGTCCAGGAACTTAGCAGCTGAAAAGGAGTTATCCAGGGCATAATTTCAAGAGAGTGAGGGGTGGGTAAAGGTTGTATTAGTTTTCAGGCTTGAATTTGAGTTTTTAGAATTAGGTATTGTATGGCAAATATATATTTCTTCTAAAATTTGCATCTCTCTTTCTACGGTTTCCTGTGGCTGAGTCGGTCTCTATACTGGATGTGAACCAGACGCACGTGGGTGAATGAGTCTGATCCTCGTTAGACTTCGGGATCTCTGGGATCCGCTTACTGTGCTGAAGTTTCTCACCTATAGGATGTGGATCTAAGGCGAAAAGTGAGTTTACCTTTAAAAAAGGTTAGATACTTATGTGGACTACATGGGATGACTTTCCTCTTAGAACTGAGGACTAAGTACATTTTTTTCCTCTCCCCCCTCAATTTTTATCACATCTCTTGGGAGGCACTGAAGTACTTTCGTTCAGAAGGATTTTCTGGCGCTTTACCGTGCATAATCTGTAGGGCATTCTCACACTCTGTTAAGGACAAGAGAGGAATAGTTTGAAACTTAGTTGAGAAGAGGTCAGTCACAGACAAGCTGAAAGAGAGCAGCTCTATACCCCCAAGCATGGAGTAGGGGGCAGGAGGGGTAAAAATTCCCATCCTTAGGTCCCACCTGGGACAGGGCCTAGGAATCTGTAAACTCAACAACCTATCTGGGCAAGTCGGCTTTGAGCCACTGAACTAGTTCTTTCTCTCTCCTACAGATGAGGGGCTGAGGCTCGGGGAGGGTAACTGCCCCAGACGCCAGGGTGCATTAGGGGGCGATGGGAGCAAGGCCCAGCATCTTGGCTCTGACCGTGGCGTGCCTTCCCCTGAAGCACACTGGGCACTGCTGTGTGACACCCTCGTGCCTGTGGCCTGGTTGAAGTGAACACTGATGCCTTGTTAGTACTTGGTTTGCATTCTTGCCAGAGTAATCCCTGTCTTCTTTTTTCTTTGCCTCCTCCCGACTCTCGTGCTTTCTCTGGAAGCTCTAAACCACCGTGCAAATAAACTTGTTTTTCTCAATATTTGTGCAAGTCTAGAGACATGAAACTCCAAGATTGCCTCATCATGAGGCTGCCTTACCAGAGATCTGTATCTTGTTTATTTACCAGGAGGACAGATACGTTTGAAACCATTGGCATGGCTCTGGGGTAGGCGGAGGGAGGCGGCTGCTTCTCGGCAGCTCGCGGCCCACCTCCAAGGCCCCAGGACATGCTCAGAGCCCACAGCGAAGTTCGCGTTTGTGGCAGGGTGGTGGGAGCCAGACTCAGAACAGGAGAGAACCTTCCCCTTCAGCTGTCACCCAGTTAGGTCACCCCCACTGGTGGCCAGATTGCTTAAAACAGAAGGCACTTTGTAAGCCTGTAACAAGTGGTTTACAGCACGATATGCTTCTCCTCCCCAAAGGAACTTTTGGTGGGGGTCTTTTTTTTTTTTTTTTAAGGCATTTTATTTATTTATCTTTTCTGAGGACGAGTGGCCCTGAGCTAACATCCGCCACCAATCCTCCTCTACTTTATATGTGGGATGCTGCCACACAGCATGGCTTGATGAGCGATGCGTAGGTCTGCACCCAGGATCCAAACTGGTGAACCCAGGGCCACCGAAGCGGAGCATGTGAACTTAACTGCTTTGCCACCAGGCTGACCCCTTGGTGGGGGGTCTTTGTAGGTGAGGAAGTGTAACTTCATGGGTAGGAAGCAACTTAAATTTATTTGGTGGTTTACCTTTCTGTATCCAAACCCCATGCCTTGGGCAAGCTAAAGGACAGCTTCCCTGGCCCTCACATTCCAGAACTGTGTTTGCCTCCACTCTTGCCCAGGTGCGAGGAGCCTGAGTGGTCCCTGTGGTTGGTCTGTCTCAGGCAATGACCAGCTCAGCTACCCTCCTCCTGCCCTTTCTCTCCTACCCTCTGCCATTCTGGATATTCCTTCCAGAGGACTGAGAGGACACTGACCTCTGGATGTTGGCTGGCCCCAAGCCCACCAGTTAGTCCTGGGATGAGCATGTGGTGCAGGGCAGACGCTCCTTCCTGAGGCAATCAGGGCAGCCGTGGCCTGAGATATTTTACATGCATCCCAATTAGACTTGGCACCCTGCGGAAGGGCCAGTGGCACACCACATGTGCCACCCATGTCTCCCACTTAAGGCTCTGCTTGGCCACTGACGGTGAAGCAGAGGAGACAGGTGTCATGGCATATCATGCTAGGTGACCCGAGGAGGAAAGAACACTGTGGCAGAGGAAGATTCTGGGGGTAAGGAGTACATATCATGCTGAAAAGCAAAATATTTCCTTGGTACACATCTCCACGTGGTATAAGCCCACACCTCATACGGACAGAGAGATGTGCAGAGAACTCAAACCCCACATGCACTGCGTGGGGCCCAGCTGGGTGTCCCTGCCACAGCCTTGCTTACTCTGCCTCTGAGGTTACAGTTCCCAGTGTACCAGGGAGAGAAGGGCTGTCTAAACTGGGCCCTAACTGTTTGAGGCAACTGTCTTTTCCACTTAGTCCAAACTCTCGTACAAGGCAGAATACATCCCAGAAAGCTCTGAAGTTTCATGACGATTCCCAGGCACCTGTGAGCTGTAGGTCCCCACAGGAAAGCTGTAATTGAAAGTGGCGACAGGAATGCCCCCTTCCCTCTCTGGGGCTTGAACCTATGGCCCAGGATGCCTTGGATGGTTGCCATAAAACCAGAAAGAAAATGGGGAAGATCCGATTTAAAAGCCGGAATATATTCTGCTGAAAATATGTGCCCGTGCTCCTTCCAGAGACTGCGCTCCTGGAGGGAGACTCACGTAGTCCGTTACAACATAAACAGGAACAAGGCGGAAGGGCTTCACCCAGTAGGAAACTAGCAGCATCGTTTCGCTCCCTGGGGCATCCCCTAGGGTCCTCATCAGGCAGCCTCTCCCTATAGGGGAGGGGTATGCCTGGTCGGCACAGCTATAACTCATCCATCATGGCAAGCAAATCGTCCCCCTTGCTGGCGCTCTGCCTCGGCGCGTCCGTGATCTCAAACTCCCCCATGATCCGAGCCAGCTCTTCACTCCTCTGCTGGTCCTGGTAGAGAAACGAGAGGTGAGAGGGAACAGAGAGGACGTGCTGGCGCCACAGCCTCTTTGTGCAACTGGTGTTTAATTTTCGTCCCCCCACTGGGATGCATTTCAGTTCCTCACCTGTTTGTCAGAACAGGGACTATAGTTACATGCTGATTAGAGAGGAGAAGGGGGGGCCTTCGAAGTTCAAGGTTATTACAGGTGGGGAGGGGAATTTGGCTTGTGTAATCCCCTGCACACACCTGGGTAGCTTGTATGTTGATAACTTCATAGGATAACTCTTCTGGCCTGGTGAGCGCTGCTTGCCTGCGTGAGATGGTAGAGAAATGGGTCAAAGGTTAGGGTCTTCTCCCTGCTACATGGTCATCTGACACTTGATAATCTGGCAACCTATTTTTTCTGCCTCATCTTCTGCTACTTCCCTTCACCTTTCCACTGTCCCCAACCCATGCACTCTGCACTCCAGAAAGTCAAGTCCTCTATGTCTCTGTGCCTTTGTAGATACCAAACTCTGCCAAGAATATTCCTCCCCTTCCTCTGCTTGGCAAACCCCAAGACCCAGCTCAGATGCCAACTCCTTCCGTCGGCCGGTGCAGTCAGTCACCGTGTCATCCATCAGAGCATTTATGACACGGTGATGAAATAAGTCATGAAGCGTTCATCCTCCTGCTATGCTGGGAGCTCTGAGGACAGGCTCCAACTTTGTGTCCCCAGCACTTACCATAGCACCTGCCACACAGAAGTGCACAGAAGAAGCGAATTCAGTGGACAGGGAAACAGAAGGCAACCCCCCACCCCCAAATATTTGGTTGTGAGGAGGATCAAGAGATAACGAAGGACAGAAAAGCTCCGTACACCACTGTATAAATCTCGGTGAATGACTGCTGCTCTTGGTTTTGGGGGAGACTGTCTAATCCCAAAGACATCACCCTCTAACCTCCCTCGGGTTTCTTAACAGACTCTGCTTGATATGATTATCTCGACCACCAACACTTCTTGTCCAGCTGTGCCTTGCTAAGTGAAACATCAGAACTACTGTTGAATGAATCCAGAAGCTTCAGGCTATTTAATACTGGTGGATTCTGCTTTAACTAGGTTATTGAATTTGCTATTTTCTTTATGATCTTCTCATCTGTATTTACAGGTGTCACTGGTTTATCATGGTCATTTTTTGGCTCTTATCACCTTCGGGATTTTTATACATGTCTTAAAACGTCATGTAAATTTTTTACATGTCTTAAAAAAAAGGGTTTAAAACATACTCCTCCTCTTCCTCAGTGGCGAAGAGATTCAGCCGGAATCTCGCCTCAGGGTCACTGGGTTTCTTAGTCTCCATCCCTCCCAGCAGCCTGGCCAAGAAATTCAGCTCTTCTTTAGCAAGTGGGTTTGGAGCAATGCTTTCCTGCAGAAACAGTTTCACGATTTTTAGCCACATGAAGGTGATCACGTTTCCTGTGGAGACCCAGAGACCCAGGGTGGTATTACAAAACAAGGCAAAACAATAACTGTTTAAATTGTTTCTGGGGAGAACCAGGTCCAAATAAAGCACAGAAAACAGGCTTAACCAAAAGGAGAAATAATCTGCGTCAGAAGCAGGGGGATTCGAGCAAGGCAGCAAAGCCGAAATTTTTCACAATTTCAAGATGAGTGGAAGGCCCCAGGGACTCCCGCTCTCCCCAGACTGCCTTCCTCCTTTAAGGAGGACACTGCTTCCTCTTCAGTCAGTCTGGCTCCTTCAGCATTTACAAGGAGCCTCAGTAAAGGCTCCGGGTCCAAGGGCCCTCATTCCTGAGGAGCTACCGCACTGCCCTCAGGTGGTGACTGTCATGAACGCACTCCCCCATCCATTCCCTCCTCTCTCACCGTCTGGCCCTACTTGAGCCTTGGCCTCCTCCTGACCTGGCACTCTCTAATCCAGCTGTCCCCTCTGCCACCAGAGTTGTCTAAAATAGTTCTCACTTCACTTCTCCCTTGCTGGAGACAAACCCCTCTGTCTCCTGCCTAAAGGACAAAGTCCAAATTTTTTAAGGCCCCAGTGTCCCCATCCAGTTGAATCTCAGGCTGCTTGCCTCAGTTACGTTCTGAGGCAGCATGTGGGAGAGACGCTGCCTCCCCACTTCCGCCAGCACTCTGCTCTTTAGCCCCCGGTGCCTTTGCCCACACTGTCGCCTTGGTCTGCAGGCCCATTTCTCCTTCTCAGCTACGCAGTATCTTACCCACTCTAGAGACCCACTTGAATGTCACCTCCTCTGAAAAGCCTTCTTGACCCCTGCCCCCTGCCCCCCACCCCACCCTACTGGTCAGAACACGTGCTCTGGCACAGCATTTTGTTCAGAATACCACTGTGTTACGGTTATTTGTTTCGATCGCTGTTTTGCCCAGAGTTCTTTAGGCCTTCAGGATGAGACCACAACTAAGCCAGTTTTGTGTCCCTGGGTACCCAGCCCACAGAATTAGTTCAGCGAATGTTTGCTGAATAACTGACTATTCCGTGATTTGTCCTATAGCTGGCTGGTACCTAGTTCAGTGAAAATTTGTAAAGGTGGAATTCAGAGAACCTAAAACCCCATTTTGAACCTAGCTACCACATCATCTACAGGGAAGCACTGAAAAGGGATGTTGTAATGATGAGAATACACACAGGTGCTGGACTCAGCACCCACGGACCTAATAGCACTGGTACAATGATATTTCACATATCCTGGTGTGTGGTTCCTGCCTAATTATGGGGTTGAGCCAAGCCTAAAATTACCTAATTAGTCAGATCACTGGAAGTCTCCATGAGAAACTACAATTAAAAACCTGTGTACTCGTAACGCTGACTCAAGAAGGCTGCAAACAATGAGGGAAATGCGGCTGGCTTTGAAATCTAGAGTTCCCACCCTTCTCCCCATCAAGATTTTTGTACCTAGAAATAAGCCTGAAAATAAATACGGGGGAGGGGGGGCAGAAGCTCACCTGTGTCTGTGAAGCTAAGTTCTTTGATGCTCCAGACATATGGGTTTCCACAGGCCGGTTCACACTGTACCTGGTGTCAACAGAAAACCATGACCTCACTGTCCAGCCCTTTTACACCGAATTCCTTCTTACTCATCAAGATAGTGCACAGCTTTTATTGTGAGACATTAAAAAGCATCCAGAAAGGTGCTGGGAGCACAGAATACAACTAAGTGGGTTCAACCACTCAAATTTCACTTCTCCTCCCCCCAAAATACCTGGGAAGCTGTGTGCAAATGCTTCCTCTTGCAAAGTAATGGGTATCACTGGAGAAACATGAACAGTTACGTGAAGGCCGAGCCTTCCTGGGTCTCCACTGCGGGAAGGGTTTGGCTAGTTGTGCTCCATGACTATTTAACATTGTCTTTTAAACCTGTGGAGGTGCGTTATGTTCGGCCATCTTAGGTGCCCTGTGAAAACGCCAGGGCTCTGCACCTTGTATGTCGGGAGAAGTTACTCCAGTTGTCAGCAGGGATTTTCACGGCAGAAGTCAAGCTGGAGTTTTAAATGAAGGGACCCCCTGGGACTTGAATTCATTCAGGGAGGGAGAATGTGCTTACATGTTAGTTCCCAGTTTCAGGACTCGGTCTCCATAAAGTTCGAAAGAACCTTCTTTTGGTGCAGCGACATAGTTTCCGCCGTGCTTGAATTCTACGGTCTTCACTTCCTCGCCTTTGCTGTTGAACATTCTACAATACAAAGGGTGATATGACGGAATGTTCTCCAAGCTGGGGTAGTCCTGGAGGCTCCTTTATTCTTTGTACTATGGGACAAAAAGGAATTCATGCACTCCTTCAAGATGAAGATGCTGGTTGAGGGTAATAACAATCATACAATAATAATAATATTTATCGAGCACACGTTATGCGCCAGGCACTGTGTAAGCATTTAGAGCCTTATTGTCTTAGTCATCCTCACAGTAAGCATTTAATAGACGAGGGAATGAGTCCTGGAGAACGGGGCGGTTTGCCTCAAGTGTCTGCTAAGCGGCAGAGCTGGCATCAGAACATGACCTCCTGGCTGCTGTGCTCTGCTGAAGAAAGGGAGGGGCCCAGCATGCCGCATTCTCTGTGGTGGCCACACATGGATTTCCCGGCACCCCAAGCACTGATCTGACAGTTACTGTTGAGAACTCACCTGATGAGTCCTGGAACTTCAGTTCCCCAGGGAACAGGCCCGGACACGGGCAACACAAAGCGACCATTAGAATTCTGAACTCTGTCCTTTAGAAATATGGACACCTGGAAAACAATACACTTACTGTCGTTTTTCTTAGTACATTTTCACAGACATAAGCATTCTGAGGCTGGAAAGCGTATAAGGGTTTGGAAATGTTACCTAGTGAGTTTATAACAGTAAGAAGCGAGAAAAACTCACCAGAACTCACACCTGCAGAGTTGCAGTGTTTGCACAAACAGAACTTCTTGCGAACCGCACAGCAAATCTTCCAGGAAAGCTGTATTACCCCCGTTTGAAAGATGAGGAAGCTGAGGTTCAGATTGAAGCGACTTGCCCAAAGAGAACAGTAACAGACAGGCCCGGGCATCCAAACCAACACTGACTCTAAACTCCTTAGTTCCCTGCTAACTTTCCATCCAGCTGCAAGGCTTGAGCTGCAAGGACCTCATTATCTCCATTTTACAGACGAGGAATCGGCAGCTCAGAGGTGAAGACGCTTCCCCAGGGCCGGCCTGCTCACAGCGGGGAGAGCCGAGGCTTCAAACCCTTGAGTTTCTGACTCTGGAGCCCGAGGTCTTAGCCGTGAGCTGGACTGGTGAGAAGGGGCTGGAGAGGTGGATCGGGTTGGCATTAGAGTTTGAAGCTCTTCTATGTGACCAAAAACACCACATTATGCTTATTTCCACTACCTGGTTTGTGCACTCTATACTGACGTCTTGGTCAGATAAAATCCCATGAAGACTGTAGCAGTTAATCAATTTTTTAGGCCCTTAGCTTCCTCATCTGTCAAATGAGATAAACTTGAAGGTTCTTTCAAACTCTAAAATTCTACAAGATTATATTAGGAATATCACCAAAAATAAGCATCTGCTGTGTGCGAGGCAGTGAGAATGCACAGCGGTAAGGGTTTGTAAGCTGTAGTGTGGCGCGCTGCTGTTACTGGCTAGGGTACCTCTCAGCTGGGCCGCCCCTCGGCTCTGGGTTTTTGGTATGTCACACAACCTGTCTGCGCATCAATGTTCTCTTCGGTAAATTGGGGGTAATAACAGGATCTATTCAATGGGTTAGTGTGACAACCAAGTCAGATAATGAACAAAAAGCACTCTCCCAGAGCCTGACACATAGTAACTGCTCAATAAATAGTAGCAAATACTCTCAGTATTGCAGTCTAATTGGACACAGGACACAAACATAAAATGGGGAAAAAAATGATACCATAAAGCAGGATGCGCTGAATAGCACATGCATATTTGCTCGCTGACCTCAGCACGGGAGGTGGGTAGGGGCGACTGTGGGTTTGGTGTGGGGCCTGGAGGAAGAAGGTGGGTGTGAAGACACTTCAGAAGCAGAGATGGGCAGGCACAAGTCATGTTTTGGTGGGAATGTATAAACTAGTTTGGTCAGAGGGTTTGGCTAGGTGACCTGTAAGGAATTTTTAAACTTGAGATTCTGTGACCAAGGGATGTGAATACTACAGGCATGGAGAAAGAAAATTTGGAGAGAGAAGTGGGAATATACATATGTGCTGGAGCCTCTGTTAGCCTAATTCTAATAGTGTCGACTATGTCCTAGTAGATCTGAAATGTACAAATTTAAGTCAAGTGTGTGGTGGTGTTTGACCTGAGAACCTGCCTGTGGCTCGACAGGACTGTTGGGTCTGTCTGCTTGCCCAGCTCCTCTGCTGGCCCTCAGCTATGGGTGTGACTCTCCCTGCCCTTTTCCTCTCACTCCACCTCTTTTTTCCCCAGGTAATCTCATCTATTCCCATAAGCCAATGTTCACCTCTGTGCTGATGGCCCCCAGATCTCGAGCTCCCACTTAGCCTTCTTCCCTGGGCACCTGATCCATCTATCCCATTGCCTATCAGATGTGTCCACCTATAGATTCCATGGGCTGCACCTCAAATTCACCCTGCTCAGAACAGGGCCCATCATTTGTCTTCCCAAACCTGACCCTCCCCTGGTGTTGCTAATCTCCCTGAATGACACTGCCAGGTGCCAAGTCAGCAATCTAAGCTGTCCCGTCCACCATCTTCCCATGTCTCTTCAGTCACCCAGTCCTGCCAACCCAATGATCACTCCTGTATCCGGCCCCTCCTCTCTGCCCTGCTCCTTAGTGCAGGCCTTCATCATCTCTTGCTTGGCCACTGCAGGAGCCTCCTGACTGGTCTCCCTGCCTCCTGTTTGTTTTTTTTTTTTTGGCCAAGGAAGATGCGCCCTGAGCTAACATCTGTGCCAATCTTCCTCTATTTTGTACGTGGGTTGCTGCCACAGCATGGCTGACGAGTGGTATAGGTCCGTGCTCAGGATCCGAACCCGCAAACCTGGGCTGCCGAAGCAGAGTGCACTGAACTGAACCACTGCATCACAGGGCCAGGCCCCCTCACCTGTTTTTGATCCAGCCTCCATTCTGCTGCTAAGAGACTCTTCTAAACTCATGTCTGACCGTGTCCCTCTTCTGCTTCAGTGGCTCTCTGCTGCCTGCCAGAGAATGTCCAGGTGGTCCTTGTTCCTCTCTGTGGCCATGTTCTCCTTGAACTTATGTTCCAGCCACACTCAATCGCTTACAGCCTTCCGCCCCGCTCCACCGCCAAATACATCAGGCAGTTACATGCCTCCTGCCCTTAGTGAGACGCTGTCCTCTGCCTAGGTGTCCGTCTCGACCCCTGCCCTTGTCCCCAGGGGCCTGTGAAAGCCAGTTTCTATGAGAAGACAGCAGATCCTCTATGAAGACTTCCTGATTCTTTTGGGTGGAAGCGACACCCCCTCCTTTGTGTCCTCTCTCTTTGCACTCTTCTATTTCAGAACCAAACATCTGTAAGGCACTTAGTGTATTTTTCCCCTTCTCTAATAAGTTCCTGAGGGCGGGAACCATGTTTCCTATGGAAAAAGGAAATGAAGGTGACTGCGCTGCGGGGCTGGAGTGCTGTGTGAGACATCTCCATGAGCATTCACGCTCCCCGGGACGATGGCGGGACTCCGGTGGTCGGGAGGAGTGAGCCGGGGATTTAAAGGCTCAGGGAATATGGTGGTGGCTTACAGTTTCAGCAGTGAGTGATGAGTACAGGGCTCTGGACGGTATTATGGTTGATGGCCTTACAAGAGGAGGGCTGAGTGTGAGAGCGGGAGAATAACGATCTGAAAGTGAGAGGGAAGCTGGCAGAACACCGACCCTGCTTCTCCCATCCTGCCTCAGGTGAGAAAGAGTGCCCAGCCTCCCCAAGTGGCCAGAGGACTTCCAACGCCACCTCTGTGCTGTATGCTGAGGATTCCCACATTCATGCCTCCAGCCTGGCTCTCCCCAGAGCTCTAGATTTGGATATTCAACTGCCTATTCGACATTGCTGCTTGGGTGTCTAACAGGCAAATCAAACTTGCGTAGAACTAAGTTTTTCTACACAAATATACGTTCCTTCAGCCCGTCCCTCTCTGAGTAAACGGCACCTCAGTTGCTCAGGCCACAACCTTAGCAGTAGTTGCTCATCATTCTTCTTTCCCTCATTCTCCACATCCAAGCTCTTAGTAAGTCTGGATGATCTTGCCCCGAGATCCTAAATGCGGCAGATGCCAAACCTAAACGCTTCTCATTGTCTCCACTGGTAGACCTCATGTAGACACATTCACTTTTACCTGATTTCTACAGGAGTTTCCCACCTGCTGTCCCACCTCTACCCTTGTCCCACACAGTTCATCTTCCAGAACCCACATCGGATCACGTTACCTCTCACCTTACAGTGCTTGCAATCTTTCCTCTAGTCTTAGAAGAAGCTGGGTACTAGGGCCGAGAGCTAAGTCAACCAGTAAGTAGCAGTTTATGACCAGCCTCTGTTCCCATTAGTCTGGGCCCACGCTGCATAGGTTGTTAACTTTATTCTTTTTTTTTTTTTTAAAGATTTTACTTTTTTCCTTTTTCTCCCCAAAGCCCCCCAGTACATAGTTGTATATTCCGCGTTGTGGGTCCTTGTAGTTGTGGCATGTGGGATGCTGCCTCAGCGTGGTTTGATGAGCGGTGCCATGTCCGCGCCCAGGATTCGAACCGACGAAACACTGGGCCGCCTGCAGCGGAGCGCGCGAACTTAACCACTCGGCCACGGGGCCAGCCCCTGTTAACTATATTCTGAGCATCACTCCTGCCTAGAGATGCTCCATTCACATTGGCTTTCTGTTCATCCAAGGAACACATCATGCTTCTCCCCACTAACGGCCTTTGAACTTGCTCTCCCTTCAGTTTAGATGCTCTTCCTGGGATCTTTGTGAGTTATACTCTCAGCTAAAAGGGCTGTCCTCAGAAGGGCTGTCCTTGACTCTATCATCTAAGGATGTGCCGTCCAGTACAGCAGCGACTAGTCAAGTGTGGCTATGAAAATTAAAATTAAATTAAAAAGTCAGTTTCTCAGTCACACCAGCCATATTTCAAGTGCTCAACAGCCACATGTGGCTAGTGGCTAGCATATCGGACAGCACGGACAGAGAACATTTCCATCACGACAGGCAGTTCTATTGGACAGTGCTGGTCGAGTGCAACATCCCACCCAGCGACCCTCTATAACTACCTTATCTTGCCATCTTCCTAAAAGTTATCAGAACTAGAACGTGACTTGCTCGTCCTCCCTGTCTCTTCCTACTAGCCAAGAACCTCCTCAAGGCAGGACCCCTGTCTTGTTCTCTGTACTTACATATCTCAATGCTGAAAGCAGTGCCTGGCATGGAGTGGGCACTCAATAAATATTTGTTAGGCTGACTAGTTTTCCAGGGATGACATATTTCCAAGTGGAGTGCATAATGGAGTGGGACTGAAAGAACATTTATGAAGAGGCGAAGATGGAAAAACACAAGGAGAGTCCATGAAGGAAGGACACACAAATGTGAATGAGAGTGTGGGAGGGGGTGGGTGACCTGAGGAGCCCACCCTTTAGGAGGCAACTCTGGAGGAGTTCGGGAGGGCTGAGAGGCGGTGGGAATTCAGATGGCTGTAAACAACTGCTCAGGACGCCAAATGGTCTTCATGCAGTTTCTGGCCAGGCCCCATGCACAGGTCAGGGCCTTGACCACATTAAGGCCACCATAGGTTGTTTCGTGATTCCCCAGAAAGCCTTGGATATCCAGATGAGGAGTTTTGTATTCGCTTTGGTTAAACAACGAGCAAGAGAGTGTTAGATCAGAGCTGCGTTTTCTTGATTTAGTTGGTTTTGATAACAAACCGAAAAACTGTCAAGACTGCTTTGAAAACAGAAAATCTGTATAGGCAATCACAAACTGCAGCTCAGCAGAAACAGCATTAAAGATCAGACTTGGAAAACCAGGCCAATGTTACAATCAGCGGCTGGACGTCATCAGGCTGTGTGACCCCTATTTCTTTTGATGTTCGATTTTGTTTGATGTTTCAATGAACATTGTGACATTTCATTGCCTGTCCATCTAGCAATTAAAGCTTAATATATTTTGTGGTTTAATATGTTTTAGTGATTTTGTTATAGACTTATTATTAGGAAAGTCTTTTCATTATAATGAATTTTATCTTATCAGAATTGAGAAATCAATATGACTGCTTATATTACTACAATCCATAATATCCAAATATGCTCAGTCTTGATGACAATATGATGCAGAGTTTTCACTATTTTAAAGCAACGCAAAACTCAATCTTATTTGTACTTTCATATTTTTTATTTTAATTGATGACTATTAGAGATTTTAATTTATATTGATGTTATTATTGCTCCATCCATAGCAAGTAAAATTGTTCACGAGAGTTAACAATAAAACTGGCCTCAGAGTTGAAATCTACTTGTCTTTCATGGTCCAGGAAAGGGAAATAACAACCAGGCACTAACCACATTCTATTTCTCCTTTTGTTTGAATTTTATTTTGTGACTGTGTTACACATGCACATGCACAAAATTCAAAGGGTATACGATGGAACACAAGTCTCTCTCCCCTCCCTGTCCTTCACGCAGGTCCCCACTCCCAGCAGGCAACCGCTGCGACCAGCCTCTTGTCTTTCCAGAGCACTCTGTGCCACACACGTACAAGCAAACACACACGCTGCTTCAGTTAACCCTCCCAGAAAACGCTACATTAGGTATTTTCAATTCCGTTTTTCAGAAGCAGCAGCTAAGGCTCAAGAGCAGCAATTTGCCTGTTCGTGGAGCTGGCTGGAGCTGGGGCTCGAACGCAAGTGTGCTTGACTCTGGGGCCTCGGCTGCTTTGGCCGTTTCAGACCGTCATTCCCACATCTGTGCGTTAAATTGTGGGAAGAAGCAAAGTTCTGTCCAAGAGAGACAGGCCCCAAATTCAGAAGCTCAGAAATGTGTTTTAAAAGTTCGTGTGTAGGGGCTGGACCTGGGGCCGAGTGGTTAAGTTCATGTGCTCTGCTTCAGCAGCCCAGGGTTTCACCAGTTTGGATCCTGGGAGCCGACATGGCACCATTCAGGCCACGCTGAGGCGTCCCACATGCCACAACTAGAAGGATCCGCAACTAAAATATACACCTATGTACTGGGGGCATTTGGGGAGAAAAAGCAGAAAAAAAAAGAAGAAGATTGGCAACAGTTGTTAGCTTAGGTGCCAATCTTAAAAAAAAAGTTAGGGTGCAGAATTGTCTGGAGTAGGCATGACGGGGGGAGGCAGGGTCAATTGGGAGGCAATAGCCAACCAGAATACAAGGGCCTGGGCTAGGCTGGTGGCAGTAGGAGTGGAAAGGAGGGTGTGGAGATGGAAAAGGTAGACTCTACGGGCCTAGAAGCAATGAGAAGGTCAGAGAAGGGGAATCAACGGTGACGCTCTGGTTCTGAGGCGGGTGAGTGAAGGAACGGTGGTGCCCTCAGAGGAAATCAAGAAGTTGAGGCAGGACTTGAATTTCAGAGGTTAGTTTGGCCACAGACATTCAGCTGTAGGCACTAAGTGTAGGCACTCAGCAGGCAGGTGGGGAGATGTGGGTCGGGACGGCAGGGCTGGGCGAGGCCAGAGCAGACGCTAGACTCAGGAGTCCTGGCTGACGGAGTTGGAAAGGGGTAGGAAAGAGAATTCCTAAACAGAGGGGAGGGGTGGAGGCAGGAGGAGGAAGGTTTGGAGACAGGAGGAGGGAGAGGAAGGAGTGGCAGGCATAGAGGCGGGAGAGGTGAGGGAAGGCCAGGATGGTCTGGCACCATGAAGTCCAGGAAAGGTGAGAGTCTCGTGGAGGAGGAGGGCAGCCCCCTGATGGTGTCAGACCCTGGAGAGGTCCAGGATGCTAACGGCTAGGAAAAGGCTTTGGAATTGATCTTAGGCTGGAGGCCTTGAGAGTACATTTCCTCTGGAGAAGCAAGGGGAGAAACCGTATTTTAAAGAAACACGGAAGGTAACTGGGAAGGAATGGCAGCACCATTGTGTTCCTTGGTCCACTTCAAAATTGCTGAGATTTGTTATCAGAAAGCTTATCATCATGGAGCCAAACACCGAGGACATCACCAACTGCGCAGAATTTCAGCCCTTGTCTGCCTGACCAGTTGGCACCCCGTTTCCCGAGGACTGCAGTGGCATGGCGCTCCCAGGGCTGCCCGTGCACTCACCCGGATGTGCAGATCCTGGAAGAAGATGAGGAGTGTCTGCCGGATCAGCTGGAACTCCCCCGCAGAGAGACCCCCATATACCTGCCGGAGCCAAGGCAGAAAGAAGCACTTCACTTTCAGAGGCGAGATGAGAGTGCAGACAGGCAGGGGTGGTGGGCGCTCAGGGATGGGAGCTGATAGCAAGGAGAGGACTCAGCTGATGGGGCGAGAAGGACAGCAGGAGAGCCAGCCCCGCTCCCTCACTAATGAAAAACCCCCTTATGCCACACCTGAGTGGGGTACACCTCACCTCTCCCGGTCCCCACAGACCTGGAGAGGCTGTTCCTCAGGACTTAGCATAACATCAACCAGCAACTCTCTTTCAGAAGAGTTAGGAGAAAATGACCATGCTCAGTATCATTGCCTTCCAATTCTGAAGGCAACAGTAAGAGGGCATAAGATGGTAACGCCAATTGCAGTACCAAAATGGACACTTATAGATCTTCAGAATTTTCTGGGAGTGCGGCAGGCTTTGCCATTCCTCATCTTGTTCTCTCTGTCATAGGATCTGCCCGCTCTTAACTGAGGAATGAGAGCAAGTACCAGGCCTGAAAGGTGAGAAGCTGACAATGCGCTTACCTCAGTCAGCTGCTGGAAAGTCTCATCGACCTGATTCAGGATGGCTGGGGAGTCTCGGATGAGCCCCTTGATGGCATCTAAATGATTGAACGTGACCAGCAACACATCCTTGGGACGGGGACACATCAAGACTTGATATTTGAAAGCCACAGTCATCAGGTCATAGAGCTGCCAACCCATACACGAACAAAATAAATAGGATTCTAAGAGCAGATGTCAGAACCTCCAAACAATGATTCAGTCAAGCACTCACTGAATGAAAACCAGTTCTGGGCATATCATACAGCTCGGACAACCATATCAACTATCACCCAAACCAAGCCACTTTTTTGTTTTTTCTTTGTGAGGAAGAGTGGCCCTGAGCTAACATCTGTGGCCAACCTTCCTCTTTTTTTTTTCTCCCCAGAGCCCCCCAGTGCATAGCTGTATATCCTAGTTGTAAGTCATTCTCGTTCTTCTATGTGGGATGCTGCCACAGCATGGCTTGATGAGTGGTGTGTAGGTCCATGCCCAGGATCTGAACTGGCAAATCCTGGGCCGCTGAAGCAGACTGCACGAACCTATCCACTTGGTCACTGGGCTGGCTCAAAACCAAGACACTTTTGAGAGTAAAAGGGGGTGATATTAGTAATTAAGCCAGGATAACAGGAGTAAACCAGGGCATTCCTGGGTAAACCAGGACTTCTGGTCAGCTTCTCTGTATTGCTGATGGAACACGTTTGAAACAGTATCAGCAGCTGTGGGGCCCTGAGCTGGTGCTGAACTTGGAGAGCAAAATCCCGACTTCAAGCCCTCCATTGCTGCTGACTTGCTGGATGGCGCTGGCCAAGCCTCTTCACCTCTCTGAGCCTCAATTTTCTCATCTATAAAAATACTCCCTAATTTCCTGTCATTGCAGAGCTGCTGAGAGTAGGAAATGAGAGGATATGTGCGAAAGTGGCAAGTGTAAAGTTCGACAACTGTGTAAGAACAATCTTAAATGATGAACAATACTTAAGAAGATATCAACAGGCGCCATGGATGGTATGACCGTCCATGAATGACAAGAGGCGAGAAATTGGTGAGGACCAAAGTAGTGAAGACAGGCTTTCTGGAAGAAGAAGGCAGTGATATGGTTCAAATGGGCTGAGGGAGAGGAAAGGCATTCTGGTTGAGGGGAACAGCATGCGTGAGGGCCTGGAGGCAGCATTGAGTATGCTATTTTCCTGGGAGAATGAGGAGAACAGCCTGGCCGGAGAGGACAGATAATGTCGGGGATGGTGGGAAATAAAGAAATTAGGGGGCTATTGAAGTTTTCTGAGCCGACATGATAAAAGCGGTGATTAACCAAGATGAGTCAGTCTGGCAATAATGAGATGTGAGAGAAGGGAGAGACTGCAGTCAGGGAGACTAGCTGGTACCTGGCTCCTAGTAGGTTTGCAATAATATCCATTGATTACATGAATGAAAAACACTTTGTTGGAGTAATCCAGACTTAAGGCCTGGAATAAAGATGGTGGGAACGGAAAAGGCAGGGAAAAGAAGAGCATGTGGTACTTAGAAGGAGAGGCTGTGAGTATATGGTGACGATGTGACTAGATGTGGGGGATGAAGATGAGGGCTGGCCAAATGACTACAGCACGTTCAACTTAGCGCCTGGGAGAAGGATGCTGCTGCTGACGGAGGCAGGGAAGTCTGGGGCACGGGGGACAGGAGAAACCAGTTTAGGAGAGAAGTTATGGACTCGTCTGAGTCAGGGTTGAAAATATAACCACTGCCATCTGTTGTACCGTGTACTACCATCATGTACCAAGCACATTTATATACGTTACCTCATTTGATCCCATTTAATCTTCTGTGTCATTTGTCTATGGAAAGTTAAACCTTCTTAAAGGCGGAGGGAGAAGAGCAAGCAGAGCAGAGAAGATAATTCGCACTTATCGAACACCTACTCTGTGCCAGGCCTAGGCATGTCATCATACATGTATGTTTCCCGCTTAATCCTCCCAGCACTGATGAAGTAGCTATGATGACCCCCATTTTATAGATGAGGAAGTGGAGGCTCAGGGAGATAAAGCAACTTTCCAGAGGTAAGTGGCAGGAGGTAGGGGGCACAGTTAAAGGCGGTCTGTTTCCCTGAGGTTCCCAGGGGCCAGCAATAAGTGAGCATTGATTTTGCACACCCAGCATCCACTGTCAGGCCTCATGATTTTTTAAAAATCCATATAATGGAAAAAATGGAAAAGGAATTATTATGATGATGATTTTTAAATTAACTGAAGTCCGTATTTTATTGAGATTTCATGAATTCTCCCCTAATGCCCTATTTCTGTTTGAGGATCTCTGTAATGACCAATTACATTTAGTTGTCATGTCTCCCTAGGCTCCTCGCGTCCGTGACAGTTTCTCTGCCTTTCCTTGTTTTTGGTGGCCTCTGAGTACTGCTCAGGAATTTTGTAACATGACCTCCGGATGGTATCTGTCTGATTTTTTCCTCATGGTTAGACGGGGGTGGTGGGTTTGGGGAGGACGATAAGAGGGGTAAAGTGCCATCCTCATCACATCATATCAGGACACATACCTCCAACATGACTTCTCTCTGCCAATGCTGACCTTCAGCACCTGGCTGAGGTCGTATCTGTCACTTTCTCCACTGTACCATTAACTGCTTTTCCCCCTTTCCAAACTGTCCTCTTTGAAGGAAGTCACTAAGTGCGGCCCCCATGGAAGGAGTAGGGAGTTATGCTCTCCTTTCTTGACGGCAGAGCATCTACATAAATTATTTGAATTCTTCTGAATAGGAAATTTGTCTATCCTCTGCCATTTATTTATTTGAAATTATTTTTAAAATAAGAATGCCCTAATAATTTGTTTCCCAAAGAAACAGATATGTTCATGTTACAAGTAAAGACCGAGCAGTTTTGAATTTGCTTTAACAAATGCCTGGTTTCCTCAGTGCAGAGCTGACATTTGTCAGGAATGAAGGGGAATTAAAGTTTTCCGGGTTGAGCTCTTGTATTGGGCTAAGGTGTTCAAAAATATGGGCATAAACACCAGTCCTCTTCGGGCAGGTGGAACAACAGAGGGGCTGGTGTGGATGACTTCTGAGGTCCTTCCCCACTCTGAAACTCAGTAACAACTAATATTTATGAGTGCCATTTTTTGGCAAGGCACCATTGCATACATCATCTCATTTGACTCCAGTCTATGACCAGCCACAGAGGCAGCCGTCCGCTCACCTTGTCCATGCTGGCCTGGTTCAGTCTTATGATGGAGGCATGAGCCAGGCGGTCGTAGACAGTCCTCAGGGCCTTCTTGGAGTAGAGCTCCTGGGGTTTGAACAATTCCTCCATAAACTTCCGATTGAACATGGTTGAGACGATGTCATTCAGAACTGCAGAAACAGAGAGAATACAGCCGAGCACGGTACTGGAGGAAGCCTTCTTCAGGAAACGCTCTCCGTGCGAATGGAACGGAGGAGCTGGGCCTATGCAGAATGGGGATGCTGACGTGCTGGGTGAGACCTGCTCCCTGGGGAGAAACCACACAGGTGTCCCAATAGAAAGCGGGGTCCCGAGTGCTTTATGAGACCATCGCAGAGCAAACAGAAACGTGACAGTGTACAAATGTGCTGTGCCTCAGAGGTCACAAACCACTTTTACATATATTATCTCACTTTACAGGGGAAACATTTCTTTAAAAAAGATTCCTATAAGCATTGTAGATCAGAATCTTCCTTAAGACGAGAAACAGCATCACTCTTTTTTGTTTGTTTGTTTAGCAAATCTATAACATTTTTACTTTAAAATTAAATTTTATAAAAATGGGACCAATAATGGTAATTGATTCTCTTTTTTTCAAAACATTTTATGAAATGGTTAGAGATTAAAACATTTCTAATGTTTCTATAAGACATGCACTTCAGGTGAGTCCCACTTTAGAATGGCTTAATTCCTACATTTCATCTCTAATATTGCTATGACACTGTAGCAGTGTCACTGTAGTGACGTGTCTCGCACTGTTGCTCAAATGGAAAATTTCCATCTGGAGAGAAGAAAAGGTCCTAAGGCAGGTGCCAACCAAAGAATTTATAGTTCTAGTTCTTCATTCACTCATTCGGATAGATTATTATTTAATAATAAATAATACTTAATTATTTAATACCTAGATATTTTGTGCTACTCAAATACATTAGCTGAGCGCTAGGAAAACCCACTGCAGCTTGCCCTTAATGTGCGCTAACATTTCCCCAGCGTGGACAGCTTGGAGACGGAGGGGCTCTTCCAGGTTTGCCGCATGCATGGCCTTTTGCCTTGGACCCAAATAAGCAAGGATCTGCAATAGACCGGGGTTTCCAATGTTTTTCTCACCGCAGCCCTTATAAAATGCACAATTTGCAAGGAAACAGGTGCAACTGAAAAGCCACCCAGAGGCCTCAAAAGAGAGAATCTGAAGAATTTTCCACAGACTTATAGGCCAGGAAGGAGTGCCAAAGAGGAAGAATCCAAGGTAAAGAATCCCATCAGCTCTGATTATGCTAACGCTCACAAATAACTCCCAGTCCTCTAGGGGCTGGGGCGTTTCTCTAGCGTCTTTGAGCCCTTGGCAGGATCAAGGAAAATAGCTTAGGCCCAAATAAATCAGTTCTAAAAGAAAGAAAATCCCAAGGTGATTGTTAGGTGCTCTGGCAAACTAAAAAGCAAAACGAAGCCTTTCCCCTGGGAAGTGAAAAAGCTACATATCACCATGGCTCCCTGCAAGAGAAGGTCCAGAAAGTTCACCTGTTGGAAAGAGAGGGTGGCAGGCCGTGTCCCTGTGGGCAGAGCTGTGAACACAAATGCCCCCGAAGAGGAAACGGCAGTGTTACAGTTGGGCCCCGGCACCCAGGGCTCCCACCTCTCATTTAACTCTTTGGAAAGAAAATGGGGGCACAAATGAACAGGCTTACATCTCACAGTGTGCTTCACCTAGCACCTGCTCGAGACGGGCCTGCTAGGTACCAGACACTGAGAGAAACACCGGGACAAAGAGAGAGAGGAGACGTCCTTGCCCTAGAGAAGCAGCCCATTTCTAAACCCGAGAAATGGCTTTTTTTTTAAGATTGGCACCTGGGCTAACAACTGTTGGCAATCTTTTTTTTTTTTCTGCTTTATCTCCCCCAAACCCCCCTGTACATAGTTGTATATCTTAGTTGCAGGTTCTTCTAGTTGTGGGATGTGGGACGCCGCCTCAATGTGGCCTGACGAGCGGTGCCACGTCCACGCCCAGGATCCGAACCCTGGGCCGCCACAGCGGAGCGCGCGAACTTAACCACTTGGCCACGGAGCCGGCCCCTGAGAAATGGTTTTAACCGGCTCTGTTAGCCTGTCTTGGTGTTAGTTTTTGGGACCCACATGAGCTTTGCATAATTTCACAAGGCAGGAATGCACTGGGAGCCAGATTTCGTCAGGAAGCGATTTCTCTCAGGTGCGTCAGAAGGTTTAGTAACTGAATTCTTAATATATCAGGCTTCTAGTCCTGGGTTCAGATTAGGAAGTCAGTTTCTGCTCATTTCTGAATGCTTAAGTTAAAATAAATTCCAGTGATTCAACTACGTATACAAAAATCCACACGTCTTGCCTGAAATTCTGTCGCGAGTCAAGAGGTGGGCCAAAAATTGCTCAAGAGAAGTGGCAAAAGATGGTTGTGAAATATAATAAAAGTATAGCATGTACCTTGATTGGGCTTTTCTTTGAGCCTGGCCTGATGAAATAATTCGCTTGATGAAAGCAACTGAGTTTTTACCAACGATCTTTGCTATAAATCTAATTGTTTATGGGAACACGCAATTTGGAACCAAGGGTAAAAGAGAGAAGCTACTGCTTTTGGATGGTTACCACATCTCAAAGCCTTACTATGTTCTAGGCTCTGAGCTTAGAACTTTCCATGAACTATCTCATTTAAATCCCAAGGCAGCTCTGAACTATCCTTATTCTATCGAGGAGGAACACTGAGTCGTAGAGAGGTTCAAGACCAAGGTCACTCAGCTGGTGGTGGAGTTGAAGTTAGAAGGGGCTGTTTGATTCTAAAGCCTGTGCTCTTATGTATCATGTATGTTATCCCCTTAGCATACTCAGTGTGATGAGAGCATATATGGAGGACGACGACCGATGACATGCACAAACTGCACCCCAATGTCAAATGATGGCAGGTACTCGTGACATTTAAAGGCGAGAAAGGCTAAGGTGTTATTCTGAGGGATCGGCAACTTTCTCAGGTTTGCTGCTAGTTGTAGGTGACGGGGAATGGAAGATTTGGCATGACACAGTCATACCGCATGCATGAAATCATGCCTTCTGCCCGCAGCCCTGGCAGCCATGCAGTCACATGCTTCCATTTTTCTCGGTTGCTCAACAGCTATCTCAGTGTGCTAAGAAGAATGGCTCAGGGAGGGTCACTCATGTTGAAACACAATTCTTTGGTGACATGATACTATCAAAGAATTGTTTTAAGGGCTACCAAATAGGACAACCTACCCAGAAGTGCAGCTACTGCCCCAGTTGTCCTTGCAACACTTGGAACTGATGAAAAGAGACAAATACCTCGGGTGCAATATGGTCCTTTTACCAAAGTTTGTCTGGTTTTCATCTTACACGTGGTATTTATTGAAGTAAAAGATTCAAATGTGTAACCAACGTCTCGCCTAAAGAGAAACTCATGCCTATTTTTTACTTTGAAATATGCAGAGTGGTCCCACTTGAAGCCCCAGTGATGAAGGACTGAGTGAACCTGTGGATGCAGCCTGCACACATGCAGCCCAGAGACAGCATACCTCGTCCTCTGTCCGCCTCTGTCCACTCATCTACATGAAGCAGAGAAAAAGAAAACACCAGTTCATGAAGGAAGAGCATTATTTCCAAGGAGGCTTTTAAAATGCCAATTATCTGGTCTATGAAACCTTATTTTTCATGTTTGCAGTGATGTCTAATGCGAACCCCCGCCTTCCATTTGAAACTTTTAAAGGATGATGGATAAATAACAAGTTCCAAAAAAGCCCTAGGGAGGCAATATCTTATAGAGAGTGGCCCAGGAAGAGAGGAGCTCAGGAGGACCAGCCACCCCGGGGTTTATCTTGACAGGCTCGAGAAGTCATCCTCTCCCATGCTATGAGAATACACCTCATTCAAAAGAAGGCCTTTAAAAACACTAACTTCCCTGAGAAAGAATAATTCCAAGAACAGGTCGAGAAAGGATTTTCTTTTTGTAAAACCTGATGTTTTATTAATGTAAGATTTCCCTTTCTAGAGTACAGATGGAACTGTCAAATTAGAAAACTTGAAATGTAAACTAAAAGGAAAAAAATTGTCTATTTGTTTCTGATTTAGTTTTATATATAGATGCATGACTTCCATGTAAAAAGAGGGAAGTAATGATGGGACCACTGTCAAGAAAGCTCCTGAGGACAGAGGCAGTCAGGGAGATGCCAAGAGGAGACCAAATAAGGAAAAATGTACTTGGCTAGAGAAATCTTGTGAGAAGCAAGACCCTTTATGGTTGAGACCTGGCTCTATCACTTACTAGCTATGTAACTCCAAGCAACTTGGTTAGCCTCAGTTTCTTCATCTGTACAATGGGGATCATAATCGCACCTCCCTCCTAGGGTTGCTGTAGGGATGAGATGGGCAACACCCATCAAGCACTTGGCTGCCTTCTCTTCCAGCTCTGCTTTCTCTACCGCAGAACTTTGGAGAATACCCATAAAAGATGAAAGATGACTTTTTTTCGTTTCTTCATTTTTTGCGGGAGATTTCAATCTAGAAAAACCACCCCCAGATACACAGAGTTCTACACATGTCCACATTTTAAAAACGTTTTGTACTGAATGGTCTCTTTTGGAAAGCTTGCACTAGATTGTTTCAGAGGTGATTTCTGAAGTTATAATCAAAGCGCGTATGTGCCTTCAGTACACATTACTGACAGCTCCCATGAGACCAGTCTGAGGGCACAGTCAGCGCCACGCTCTAACGGGCTGCAAAGGGTTCCCATTGCAAGGTCACACTCTTCTGGGGAAATTTGCGATCTTTCTCCCACAAGAGTCGCAAGCTTTTGGAGAGAAAACATTGGGGAAGAGCACCAAGAAAGCAGACACTGGCTTCTTTGGCATAACGTCCATATCTTCTATCTTCCTGTAGCATTTATTTATTTATTTATTTATCCATCATTAAAAAAATTTTTTTTGAGGAAGATTACCTCTAAGCTAACATCTGCTGCCAATCCTCCTCTTTTTGCTGAGGAAGACTGGCCCGGAGCTAACCTGCGTGCCCATCTTCCTCTACTTTATATGTGGGGACACCTCCCAAAGTGCGGCTTGACAAGCAGTTCTAGGTCCACACCTGGGATCTGAACCGGCGACCCCCAGGCCACCCAAGTGGAATGTGTGAACTTAACCGCTGTGCCATCGGGCTGGCCCCTCTGTAGCATTTATTTGCTAGGTGGTCTTGCCTGATAGGCTTGTGGGAATTCAGAGAGATGGAGTTACCATCCTCTTGAAGGTGTGTTTGGGAACAGTGGAGCTGCAAAGGGCCTCACCTACCCTAAGCCACAGTGACTACCTGCTGCTGACAAAGTGGAGCTGGCAGAGGCATGCCCGCGGGTAATGATGCTCCGCTCCAGCAGAGGTCTCTGTAGTGCTGTGCGCTCCCAGCCCCTTTCCTCCTCGGGATCCAGGGGAAGGTAAACGATGCCCTATTTTTCTATTATTAGTCCAGATGCCTTATTTGTGACAATTCCACTTCGGTTATATTTTGAGTGGGAGGCAGGCCCAAGGCTATCCAGAGCTGCCTGTTAGACTGGAACTAGAAACACAAAAACAGAACCTCACCACCATTTGGTTGCTCAGTATTCCACTGTGATCCGCCCATCTTAGAAAAATCACTTAAAGGCTCCAAGCCTCAGTTTCCCCTTCTGTAAAATGAGGAATGTAAACAAAATGTGAGAGGGTCTTATTTATGAGTATTTTCAAGAGGATGGGAGTGAGGCAAAGGCAGCTTTTATTATTCTTGCTATGCTTAAAATGTGGGACAACATTCAATATGCAACACTTAAAAGTTGCCCCACAGAGAGAGCACTTCCTTTCTGTTGAATGCTAAACCAGAGGAGGCCTCGTGGGGAAATACTGCAATATGTACCTTCGGCCTGCGGGAGCGGGATGGCCTCCAGGAGACCAATTAGTTGTGCAAGATAATGAAAACATCTAGAAGAAATACGATTTCCATTCAAAGCTTCCATGAAGACTAGTTTAGCACGTCTGCTGTTTTCTAGGCCTCTGTGCACGGGGATTTGTCACAGCGGCTCTTGCTCCTGCGGTTACACCAGCTCCAAACGTTGGAACAGATGAGTGTTTCTCAACTTCTCGAATCCCACGCTGTCTACTCTGCCTTTTCACTCTATCTTTGACAAACTCCCATCAGTCAACTACTTTCTGTCATTTCTTTTATAAAATCAGTGTGCATACTGGATATTCTTTGCAAATCTCTCCATCTTCTCCTGACCTTTCAACCCCCTCAAAGATTCTGAGATAGTCTCCCCAGGTATGGAAGTACAGTGCAGACATATTGGTTAAGAGTATGAACGCAGGAGGCTGACGACCTGGATTTGAATACTTTACTCGTCCTCTTACCCGCTATGTAACCCTGGGCACGTTGGCCTTAGTTTCCCCATCTATAAAATGGGGATAGTAGAATCACCTCCATGATAGGATAGTCGTGGGGGTTAGTTGTTTAGAGAAGTCCTTGGTACACAGTAAGTGCTTACTAAATCTTTCTTGTTGTCGTCATTAGGAAGATATATCTCCCAGTTTTAGAATCAGTTACTAGACCAGACTGATCAAAAGCTCTCCCTCCAGTGAATTCACAGAAAGTCTGGACCAGGCTCCACCCAGCATCTCACATGATACCTGACACTCACCCAAATTGTGGATGGAATGAGTGTGTGGGTGTGAATTACTAAAGATGGCTGAAATTCCCTAAGACTGAATCTAGCAAACCCAGAAGGACTACAGCTCCTGAAGACAAAGGAAGTCAGCCCCCTAGTATTCACAAGGTCTTGCCCAGACTGCCTCTTGAAAGACAGCACCTGCTGCTCATTGTGCTAAACACATTAAATACATGATCTCATTCAATCCTTACAACTTCACTGGAAGGTATGTATTATTATTTCCATTTTATGGAAAAAGAAACAGGCTTATAGAGGTTACACTCCAAAGTCAAAAAGCTAGTTAAATGGCAAAGCTGGAATTGGGACCGATATCTGTATGACTCCAGAGAGCATGCTCTTAATTGCTAATTTACACCACCTTCCAAGATACAGGCTACCAGCCCAAGAACTACCTGTCAGCTCATTAGCCGGAATGAAATCACATAACCCAGGCACCAAGGAAAACAGAACCTGCTTGAGGAAGAAATGGCAACATCACATAAAACAGCTGACTTAGATCATCAGTTCAACAAACATTTACTGAGCACCAGTTTATCCCTAGGCATTATGCTAGGTGCTGGAGTACAAAGATGAGGGAGACAGCCATGTCCACAGACCATTTCTCTATAATATGGCCAGTGACAAGGTAGAGAGAGGCATGCGTGGGGTGCCATGGGAGTATACGCAGGCCCTTTCCCCAGGTTGAGAGGCTTCCTGAAGATGATTCTTAAGCTGAATAATGCAAGATGGAAGGAAAATGACTAGCATGTAAATGGGGGATTTGGGGTAGTATGGGGATTACCAGCATGGAAACATGAATGAACATGCTTTAAGTGGAGACCTACATGCAGTCTGGTATTACTAAGATACAAAGTAGAAGGCAGGCAGTGGTGGGAGGTGCGACTGCAGAGGTGGACAGAGATCTGATCAGGAAGGGCCCTGGAATGTCCTGCCAAGGACTTGGCCTCCACCCAGGCAGCAGTGGAAAGCTGACAAACGGTTTTAAGTAGGGGGGACGATGGACAGATTTGCATTTCAGAAAGCTCACTGGCAGGTATGCTATGGGGAGTTCTTTTTCTCTCTTCACGCATGGACTTGGAAGCAATCGCACAGACACAATAGTGAATATCTGAATATGTATGCTTAACATCTGAATATGTATGTTTAACATCAGCTGAGCATACAGAGACTGTTGGAGAGAATATAAATGTTTTAATCAGTGGCCATGTCAGTTACCTTTACACCAACTTTTCTTCCTCTCCTTTGAAATATAACATTTCTTTTATACTTAATCCCAGGAAACTTGGTGAAAGCAGCTGTCGGTTGAGAAAAGAGGAAAAGACAGAGGAAAAGGGTGGCAGAGAGTTCTAGGTGGTCATTATTCTGGCGATTAGCTGTGGTGTTTATGGGAGACAGATTTTGCATTTTAGAAACTCACATAATTATTTCCACAACTGCATTCTCTTCCAACTACTGTGACTTTCTTATGTTTTCTTATTTATCTGTGTTATTTCATAACCCTACCTGTCTAGGAATAGTTTCTGAAATGAGCAAGACTGGCCTCCAGTTAATGAAGGAGGATACTACACAGAGACATGGAGAATCAGAACCTGTTTCCTGAGGCAAGAGGATGCCTGGACTAGCAGAGACTGTTGCCAGGCAGTGGGCAGCTGGGACTCCTACATTTGGGAGGGACCAGTTGTCAACAGAGATTAGGAAATTAACTCTTCAATCTGAAGGGATGAGGAATTTGGGGGGTGCTGTCAGGTACCCTAATAATATCCAATGGGGGTATTAAATCCCTCTGCTGTGAAAAGATCTTCTGCGGAATTTGAATCTTACGGGGCTCTGACTGGATGGGGCTGTGGCGTTGTGAGAAAGGTCCCTGCCTGTCAGAGCGAAGGGTGCAGGGGTGTACGTCAGCCTGTAACGGGGGCTGGCCGTGCGGGCCGGGCGCCTCTCACCTTTGCGGGCCTTGTCTCCCGGGACGTTCTGGGCCCGCAGCCGCTGGTCCAGGATGTAAAGCATCTCCCCGCCCAAGTTCAAGAAGAGCAGCGGTAGCGTCCGCACCGACATGGTGCCGGAAGCGAGCAGGGCCGGCGAAGAGCCCGGGGCTTGTAGCCGGAGGCTTGGAGGCCGGGGCCGCCGCGTCCCTTTGGCCTGGTTGCCAGGGCAACGCGGCGGGCGGCAAAGGGAGCCAATCAGCAGGCTGTTTGTTGGGAGGCGCCCGGGGGCGGCCGCTTATTGGGCTGGGGGATTGGTCCGAGTCGGAGGCAGGAGGGGCGCGCGGAAAGCTGGCTGCAGTTCCCTGAGCCCCGGCGGAAGGGCGCGGGCCGGGCAGGGTCTGGGGGCCGGGGTACGGCGGCCGGCCGGCGGGCTGTGGTGCGGAGGAAGGGGCGGCTCCGCGCCGGCCCGGCCCTGTCCACACGACCACCCTCGGGCCCGCCCGGCCGCAGGCTGCGTGCCCGTGCAGGAGGCAAATCCGAGCAAAACTTTAGAGCGGACTCCGGACAGACGGAGCTGGTTCCAGTCTCGGCTCGCCTGTTGCCTAGCTGTGTGACTCTGGGCAGGTGCTTTGAGCCTGGGCTTCCTGAGGCGTAAAGTGAAGGTGACCCCCACCTCATAGGGATGCAAGGAGGAAACAACGAGACCGTGCAGAGTGCCACGAAAGCACTCAGTAAAATGGGAACTGACTTCTTTTAGATGAGGGAAGGACCAGAAGCCCTTGAATTATTTGTATTTCTCCCTAAAAGCTACTCGGAGTGAAGCCCCACCTGTTTTCATACTCCGCGTAGCAAGCCAGCACCGTTGACGTGTGTCCCGCCCCGGCAGGTGCGTGCCGGCGGCCCTCCTAAGGGCGTTACGGCACACCGTTCAGCAGGCCGCCCGTCCGCTTCTCTGCTTTGAGAACGGTGACCCGATGCTTCACCTCCATCTTGAGCTTCAGGATCACCTTCCTGCCATCGGCTGTGCATTTTTACTTGATGAGCAACCGTTTCTGTAAATTTCAATACTTCTAAAACCTACTAATCATCTCTCCGTTCAGCCGCTCACACTTGAAACCTGAGCCTTGGCTTCCAACTCCGTCTCCCTGGGTCCCATTAATTATCATTCACCAAATTCTCCTTTTTCCTCCAAAATCTTTCTTATATTTATCTCACTTCTTTTTCTGTCTGCATTACTATGTTCCTCCATACTACTGCTCTTTTCTTTCCTCCACCTGCACCGGACTGAATTTCAGAAGACCCAGTTTCAATATGACACATCCCTTCAGTGGCTCCCTACTGTTTGACAGATCACAGTCTAGATGCCCGGCTTGGCATTCAAGGCTCTCCAACTACGTTTCGGGAGACATCCCCTCTTCCCTTAATCCAGCTGAACTCTTCTCACCGGTAGTCACTCCCTCTGTGGAGCATCACCTTCTCTTCCTCATAACCACACCCACCACTGGAAAGTCTTGACATATACCAAACTCAAGTCCTTCCCACACCTCCTATGGTCCATTTTCCCTCCTTTCACAGCTACGTTTTTGAAAGAGTAGTCTACACTCATAACCTGGGTTTCCTTAACATCCTGACTCCCCACTTCACTGCAGCTGGGCTTCAGCTCTCTCCACCCCCTGAAACTCTTCACAGTAAAGCCTTTCTGGTCCTGAACTGACATCTCAGCATCAGACACTATGCAGTAGTTGAAGGCTGGCAGCCCAAGGCTTTGATTTGATTTTGCCTGGTCTGTGCACCATCTTAAAGGGGAACATAACTAGGATAGGAATGTAACCTGCAGCTTAGCATCACTCTCACACCTGGCCTTCCTGTATTTGTGTTACTTGCCTGGTTGCTAAAGGCATTTGCGTTTGCCATAGTGTAGCTTCCTCCCATAGCTTCTCAGACCATTGTTTGCCCCAAGGCAGTGTAGTATAGCGAACAGAACGTGGGCTTTGGAGTCCAGACAGATGTGGGTTTGAATCCTAGGTCTGCCTCTAACTAGCTGTGTAAATTTGGACAAGTTACCTAACCTCTCTGAACCTCAATTCTCTCATGGTAAAATGAGGATAATTATGCCAATATGGGGGGGGGGGAGGGAGAAGTGCCTTTGAAGATTAGCTAATGTGCTTAAAAAGGCAGCCCTTAAAACAAGGCCTTTCCTGTGGGGCCTGCTCCACTAACGTCTGTTCCTTTTCTCTCCTTCCTCTCCACTAACCCCCATAAATGTTGGCACCTGGCCCTCCAGGACAAGATCTCTAAGTAGCTGTGTCCACTCAGAGTCCCGCCCCATCAAAAGCCTTCCCTCCTGTTCTCGGAGTGATATCCGAACAGTTCACCTGCAGTTCTGAGCCTCTGATCTCACTTCTGATTCTGCAGGACCCCAGGCTCTCTGTGCCACCCTCACTTCACCTTCCCCTCGACCTCAGCTGCTCCTCCTGACTCAGGCTAAGCCCTCAGAGATCATCCTTCTCATCCTGACACGGCCCTTTTTCTTCTTTTACATTCTCCCTGGGCACTTTCACTCACGCCCAGGGCTTCAAGCACCACCGAAACCTAACTCCCAAACCTGTCTTTAGCTCAGACCTGTCTAGAGCCCCGGATCTAAATTTCCTACTGCCCTTTGGACATCACTTAACACATCGTCTTCCTTTTTGGCTTCCCTTCACACTCACAATGAAGCCCAGTTTTTCCCCAGTGCTATGGACCGAGTCTGTGTCCTCCCCACACTCATATGTTGAAGTGCAAACTTCCATGGGATGGTATTTGGAGGTGGGGCCTTGGGAGGTGATGAGGGTTAGAAGAGGTCGTGAGGCTGGGGCCCTCGTGATGGGATTAGTGCCCTTATAAGAAGAGGAAGAGAGATCCCCTTCTCCCCATGCATGTGAAGACACAGCCAGGCTTTAAGGCCTTGGCACTTAACTTGGTGTAAACAGGTGGGCTCTGTTGGGAAGGGGATAGCTGTAACTCCCCAGAATTTATAAGCAGTTTTATATATGTGCAGTTTCCTGGGGACAACACTTGTAGCTTTTATCAGATTCTCAGTCTGAACCCCAATATCCCTTTCCCCCACACAATACATTGCTTTGATCTCTCCCCCTCCCATCCACCCTCTGCACTGCTGCTGCTTAACTATCTAAACAGACTTGTTGCTGTCATCATGCCTTCGGTTTTAAACCCTTAACTGTCTCCCCACTCCCTGAGCGCACCCTCCTCAGCCTAGCACACAGAGCCTCTCACGGCCCAGCTTCGGCTTCCCTATAAGCTTTCTTTCCAGTCCTCACTGCTCTCTGAATACAGCACGCACCTGTAGGCTTCTCCGCCTTTGTGCATCCAATTCCTTCTGCCCAGGTTCCCTTCCCTCCCATTTCTGCCCTGTGAACTTCCACTCCTCCCTTAGGGCCCAGTCTAGCAGGCAGTTGCTACAGCTGGCCCTCTCACCCAGCAGCCAGCCAGCCACACTTCCTCTGTGCTGCTGTGGGCTCAGTCTCGCCTCCACTGCAGTGCCACCTGGACGACAGGGAGTGGTGCATGCGAGTGTGTGTGATGAGCATGTGCCCTCTGTCTCAGACAGCCCTGGGATCCCAGAGCTGAATGAACGGATGAATTCCTCTTCCTCCTCAGGCCACAAAGAGCCCCACCTTCTCTCTTATTAGTCTTCAAGGCAGAAAGACATAACTTTAACAGGATTTATTGGTTTTCTTTGAGTGCCTCTGGTCCGGCTTTGGAAGGGCTCTCTGGCTTCCTCTGGCTTTGTTTCCGGGCTGCTGCAGCAGCTTTTAAGGCCCTCCGTTGCTTCCTCAGCTTTTGAGCCTCCTGGAAAACCTGGGGATGCAAGGGAGCAGGAAAAGACTGTGATCCTGTGCAGACCTCAGACCTGGAACAGGCAGGCTGGGAACTGACTCCCCCAGAGGGCACTCCAGCCTTTCTCCATGGGGCTGGTGGCCTGTGAGCCACCTCAAGGCCTTGGGGCCAGTGCCAGGCCTTGATCAAAAACAGAAGACCCCTCCCTTCTGCCCTCTCCAGCACAGTCCCAGAGTGGGGCCAACCAAAGTAGCAATTCTGACTCGTACCCGAATGCACAGAGCCTTCTTAGTCACCCAGCGGCGGTGGGCTTTTCGCTTGTAAAAAGGGGGAATGGTGTACTCAATTCCCAGCTCCTTGCACGCCTTCTCAAAGACAACATAGTTGGTCTTACGGAGGTTTTTGAGCATCTTGTTCCTCTGGTCGATGCTCATCAGCAGATAGCGCTTGTGGGCTTTGTCCTGTAAGAGTCGGTACTACTTTTAGTATTCTATGAATAACTAGTGTGCCACTTCATGGTAGCAAAGGATGGTCATTTCATCTTCTCATCGAAACCTCCCAACAACCTTAAGCAAATATTAGTGCAAATATTAGCAGTAGATATTGTCATCGTTAGCCTCATTTTACAGACAGGAAACAAAGGCTCAAAGATGTTATCTGATTCATGTGAGGTTCTAGAACTGTGCTGGGCAGGGACCTCGTGTGAGGTCAGGTCTTGACTCGGGTCTACTGGTCTCACTCTTTCACCTACACCACCACTCAGCCTCTTCACAGCTCAGCAAATGGTCAGCTGGGGTGGGGAGGAGGGGAGGCCTGTGCTCCTCCAGGAGACCCCTACCCGCAGCCAGGTGCTGCTCTGTGAGGGACCTCTGCAGTGGGGCTGGTGGTCCACGCTCCAAATGAACAAAACTGACCTCCGAGGAGCAGGCTCGACCAGCTCCAGGAAACACTGAGGTGCAGGCAAGCAGTGGGTCAGTCTGTATTCACAACCACGGGTTTATTAAAAATACCAGCAATTCCCTAGTCACAGCAGCTCTGTGCCCAACACCGCTGAGATACGGCATAATGGTTAAAAATATGGGCCCTGGAGCAAGATCACCTAGTTTCAAGTCCTAGCACATCATTTCCTAGTGGTGTGCCTTAAGGAATAACTTAATTAATCCATGCCTAGATTATTCTTCTGTAAAATGGGATAGAAAGACGGCTCTAAGGGTTAAATGAGCTGATGCGTGTAAAGAATTTAGCGTGAAGCTTCAATACCTCATAGGCATCATGTTGGCTGCCATTATTATTTCCCATGGTCCTCGCAATCCTGTCAGCAAGCACTGTTAAGATCCCCATTTTAGAGAAAGGAGAACTGAGGCTCAGATACGTAAAGTAACTTCCCCAAAG